GTAGCTAGGTCGAGGATATGTTGAACAAGTACTGATTCCTCTAGCTCGGTCATTTTCCGTGAATTGGCTAAAATATCGCATCGTGAAGGTATACTAAGCAAACGTCGACCTAGCTTCCGGTGGTCTACAGAATAGGTCCTGGCAGCAGCTCGAGCACGTAAATTTGGGTCTCTTTGCATAGCTTGGATAGCTAAGACTAACCGGCTTTCGTCATTTTTCAAAGGCATCCTTCGTTGTAGAGAAATTTAATATTTCGTGGAGGTGTGGTGGGGTCGCCGGGTTTTGGCCGGTTCGCTTGTTTGGCCGATTCGCTATACATGCACGTTATTTAATAAATAACTAATTAAATTTAATTATTATATAATAGTTAAACTCCTTTTAGTACTTAGGTAATAGCTAAGCTTTTTAACTATTAAAAAGAGATAAGCTCTTAAGTAAGCTTAGCCCTTAAGTACTAATTAGCTATTAACCCCCTTAGCTCTTAGTAATCCCTTAATAATTAAGGGTCTTTTAGCCTTATAGGAGACTATTGTCACGAATCACATGCTCACGTGATACTTGTCATAATAAAGAGGCGCAACCCTCGACAGGCACATCCAGGTTTCTTATAGCAGAAGGGATCCTTAGACCAGCTAAGCGATCCAGGGATTTTCATTGATTGGAAAGGTCACGTGACCTGTATCTTTTGGATCGTAATGATCCACGATCCAGGAGCGTAGATCTGCATGATCCAGTACGATCCACGAACATGAAAGGATCTATATAAGACTGGCACGTCTGCCATTAGATAGGAGCTTCGTGCTCAACTTAGTTATCGATCTTATCATATTAGTTTGACATCTTTGATACAAGTAACGAGTTCACTTCCAAGTGAACAACCCGATAGTCTTCTTCTTATTAAAGCATACCAACCAGCGAACACCCAGCCAAGTTTAGTTAGCCAGTTTGAGTATTCGTTACAACTATATAGTAGTTAGGGAAACTTTATAATACTATATTACTACTCGTAGAGGTGGATTTTACACTTGCTATCGTATGTATGCGATATGTACTAACGTAACAAAAGAACAAATTATAGATTCGATTGATTTAGCTAAAATTAATGCGCGCGCATACTAGCAGGTCGGCCTTCGCGTGGTAGTACAGCGTGGTAGTGTGGCATAGAGGCGTCGCACAGCGGTTCGCACAGCGGTGCGCACCTAGGAGAGCATGCGCCGGGTGCTTCTCGGAGGTATGCTAGGTCCTCTCGAGCCACACTCTTAAATAGTAGCCTAAGGCTCAAGGAAAAAAATTAACCCTCAACTAAGACTTAACTCTCAAAAGTCCTTAGCTCTTAAACGCGCACGTGATTATCTCTCTAGTATTCTTGCCACCCCTATTATCAAACCACTTTAACCCTCGTCTAACCATCTGTCGACACTACACTCGCCCTACTAATTTTCTATAAGGTGGGCCAGCAAAACCCTTTAAGGGAGTGCCTAGAAATAGGTCACATGATAAAAACGTGACCTAAGTTCTTAACCAATCCTTAGGGCAATAACCTAGAACATTTATCATGCCCAGGTCTGCGTAGGAAAGGGAGATGATATTGTTTTGCAGCCAGAACACGGGTTTGTAACGTCATTGGATGTAAGACAGGGGGTTGAAAACAGGGGTGAAAACGTGATAAGTACTGGACGTCCAGTCCTTTCGATTGATGCAATGATGTTACGTACTAACCAAAATTGTTTCTATCGCTGCCGGAATATCCGTAATCAATGATTATTCAATGAGCCAAAGTTGGAAGGAACCCTATAAGAACGAGTGGAGTAGCATGTCAAGTCGTAACCGACAAGTTGCAGTAGGATTCTACACGAGTTCAAGATCTCGATGGTATCTTATCGCATGTAAGCAATGAGTGAAATTATTGAAGTCTATTCCCTTCCCAGCTTACATACCGTGCCTTCCTTGACAATACTCACTGACCACGACTTATCCACTAGAAACCACAGTACGTTGTACAGATAGAAAGAGTAATATTGAGTCTGTGCATGATCGAGTTGTGCCAAATCAGAACCAATGCCAAATTGACTGTCGGTGTAGATCTAGCCTAAGAAAAATAATAGAACCGCACTCCCAAGTCGGCTAGCAAAGCTCGGATCGATCAAGGTAGTGCGACCATCCTTGGTCATGCTGTTGCTACGACTGATGTATTCGTGGTGGAATCCTGCACAGTGGAACTGATCAAGCGCTTTCTTAGTATCATTGGCTCATGAACTGAATTCGGTTGCCTCAAGTTTTGTGGGGGTTTCCATTCGATATCCGCAAGCGACCCATTGTCTAGGAATCCAAGATAGACTGATTTCCATACTTTACAACGGCAGTCCAAGTTTGTTCGATTCAGCGAGCATGTCAGATATATTGAATAAGCTTTGTTGATACCCCGTTCAAGTAGGCAAGCTTGAGCAGAGGATATCAAGCGTGCTTGATGATTTGAAAGGCAGTGTGAGAACCGTAAGCCTGTAAGATCGAAATACTCAGGCCAGCCCAATTGACGAAGCATTGATGCGATCTAAGGACTCCGGCGCCTGTAAATAATGCTGTGGGCTCGATCTCATGGCCGTGAAAGTCCGAATAGTACAGCTGTGGTGAATATTAGGAATTCAGCCCAATTGCATCTCGCCTTTAGCTTTGAGGGCTTTTTGACCCTCGAAGCTAGAATCGTACCATTCCCCACGAGTCCAGCCAACAACCAGGTTTCTAGCAGACTCAGTAAGGCTTTGATATCCGGGGTTATCTTTGGGAAAGAACATTGCTAGGTGACATTAGTGAGACTGCTTTTCAAGGGCAGATATGAAGCAGCATAGTCTGCAACACAAAACCTTGCCAACAAGTGGACAGTCGAACTTACTCATGTGTGCACTAGCTTCATCTCCAGCGTTATCATTGATTGCTTCCTTCCAAAATATTCTCGCATCACTGCGTGGCAGGTTGCAAAACGTTCGCTGGTTTCCGATCACACTTCCAACCATGCTTCCAGTTTCCTTGTTCACAGCTTTCTTGCCAAGTCGCGTGTAAAGATTGGCCCAACCAACGTCCATTTCCTTATTGAGTGTGACCATCCCAGTGACTCGTTTCCGCAGTTCCTCTCCTTTCATCAGGCACCCGACAAATTCAAGATGCGAGCCGACCCATCCCCATCCTTCCGTGATCCTATCTCGATTAACAAACGCAGTTGCACCGGCACCGGCCACAGCTGCGACACCACCCGCTGCTAGAGCAAGCTTTCCCCATTTTGCCCACGCACTTTCTGGTGCCGGAGGTGCTGGTAGGGCTGCAGGTGGCTTGCTCTTTTTCGCCTCTGGATTTTCGGTAGCCTTTGCTGCGGCATTCGTTCCCCAAATCGCCGTTGTCAATCCACTGAGTTGTGCTAAAGCTGAGCTTGCAGCATTGTAATGACCTTCTGCTCCGTGTGCTACAACTCCTGGAGATATGCCTAGATATGGAGTATCGAAAGCAAGAACGCCTCGTACGTATGAGAACATAAGAGTGTTAAGTGGCGCAGATGCGTTGGCTGGCTGGATAGTCGAACTCGCCGAGGAGGAATCGACGGGCTGATCGCTGGTCAAGGAGAGAATGGTATCCGCTGCCACTATTCCACCCATACTATGTCCTATGAGGATGACATGAACGCTGGGATCGACGGTGGGGGAGGGTGTATGCGATTTGACTTCTATGTCAATAACCTTTTCCTGGAGCCTGATGCGGATGAAGGTTAGCCAGACTCTCCAGAGCCCAAGAGGAAGAGCTGGGGGCATACCAATCTCGAAATCTGGCAACGCATTCTCCCAAATCCCCTCTGGTGTCGAAGGTTGGGTAGACAATGGTCTGAATGTCGATCTTGGGCAGCGCAGGTGTCAGGAGCTTCTGCAGGTGCTTCGGGAAATCTCCAAAGGTATTATCATCCCCTTTGAAGCCGTGGATGAAACATAGCAACAGAGTTTTCTTCATGGTGGCAGAGCTGCTTCTTTCATATTGGTGAAGATGGAGAGGAGAGGAAAGGAGACGTGCCACGGGATGGATTCTGTGCTCTCGAGATACGGGTACGGACAGCTGTGGAGGGGCTCAAAGTACTAGTGCCAAGCATGACGGGTCATGATGTCCGCCAGGGTCCGACGTGAATGATCCCTCACACTCTTCCTTGGCTTTACAGTATTTCGCTACTGGCTAGAACAGAGGTTCTTGAAGTAGGTATGGTTGATTTGATTCACTGTTTATAGAATTAGCTGATTTTATCTGACTTCATAACTGGTCTAATGAACCTTGTTTTTAAATAGATTACGCTGAATACTGGGATTTTAATAAGTACCAAGTACTATGAAGTAATCATACATACTTTCCAACTAATAATCTACAGAGTAATCTAAATATTAGTATATCTAGGTATATTAACCTAATAAGAATCTTTTTATTACTATGACTGGAGAGAATATATAAAAAGAAAAAATCGCCCTTAAATCTAAATTAATCTTATTAGAGTAAGAGTTTTCTTTAACTTTCTCCTAGGTAGGAGACTCCACCTAATGTTCTGCGTATAGACGAAACCTGGTACTGCACAGTATATGGTCAAATACTCGTATACGGTTCGTGTACGCACTTGTGCCTTGTTATCGAGCATGCGGATCTTTGAATCTACGCACTAGTACATGCACTGATCGTAAAGACATGTAAATAAGACAGACGCATAGGCCCGATTATGCATTGCCCATTTCTAAAAGAATACGTCATTTAAAAATCAATCAAGTGCGATACGCCATTGCAGAGTTTTTGTGTTCCTATTATTGCCTATTGTAGTAAGTATCTCCCTGTTACTTTCTAATATAGCAAGTAACCCCTGTTCGTATTTGCGTACACGTAGGACTCCAGGGTCACGATAGAAAACTTATACCTCGAAAGTTTGTAATAAGAGACTCTAGAAAGTCAAATTGATAATTAAAAAAAAATCGGTAAAGAAGATGTAAGAAGAATAAGATTCTTTTGATTTGCTTGATTAATTAGAAAGAGGTGTTAAGAGCTCGAGAGAGGGTGGTTTATGCCGCATACAGTAGTAGAGAAAGGACGAACCGTCTACCATAAACTATATGAAATAGACCAATTAAGCACTCAATCTCAAGCCAATAAATCAGACCGACAAAACAACCTTGTTTGCTTCAAGCCCTCATTGAAGTGCTCAATTAGACAGCTCAATCACTTTACGTTCTTGGGTACTTCCGTTCCATCACAAAAACCTTAGCCGTCCAATACTCGATTGCAAGTAATCCTTGTATTCCACAACCCGGCAGAATAGTTTGGCGGGCCGGTATTTCATCCCATGTATCATAATTGTAACTTCTCTACTCTATTATCGAGTGGCTTCGGTAGAGTACAGGTCAAACCCCCTCTAAAATTTATGATTATTATGCCTGTGACGAAGTATCTATCAAAAGGATTTTTGGTAATACCGGTATGCCTTACGTCAAAGAACCCCCTTAAAAGTTACAATTTATATACAGTACCTTGGACGAAGTAATCTCAACGATTAAGTTTAAGATTAGCCTTTCTTTGATGTAAGGCGAACTAAACAAATTATTTTTTGATACATACTTCGTCTTGAGTACCACAAAAGTTGAGTTTGCGGGGGTTTTTGACATGCACACCGAACACCCCTCGTAAACTCAGCTTATGTTATGCCTTGAACGAAGTAGAAGAAAGCTTGCGAAGAAACACTGGATAACTATATGAAGCAATGGTGAAATCGTCCTCAGAGAAGATAGGTCAGAGTCTCAGATATCCTTCATTACATTCTCAGATCTCCACTATCACAATCTTGATATAAGAGTCCCTTGCGAGAATCGAGCTGAGAATCGACACGAGTTTAAGCCATTACATTGCCCTCATCATGCAAATCGCAGCTATTCTACAAACATGACCTATCTAGCCACGACTGCTTCGGCAATAACAATCTATACCACGTCCTACGAAATAGCTCTTCCAGCAGGCGCCGCACCATGTACCAGAAAGGTCTACTGTGTGCGTACTACCTTTTCTTCCTATTGAAAACAAAACACAGGAATACTAATTAGTAATACATTTATAGGGGTTTGTGAATCAATCCAAAAAAGGGGGTCCATTCCAAGTCCCTCGAGAGACCTGTGGCGTAGTTTCTATGCCTGGAGGGGCTGGCAGTTTTGGTTGCGATGCCCAAGGCGAAGGTATTATAAAAGAAAGTGGTGTACGTGTTTATATTATCCCCTTGCTCCCATCTCCTTTACTGATAAGTTCATCAAATTAGTTTGTCGCGTGCTGTTAGCTTCTACTGCTCCGAGCCTATCTTCTATTGTCAAGTAGTTAGGCTATATTATGGCTTATTCGGAGATTCGGAGGATTTTCTGTTACCTGGTTTTTCTGTCTAAGAGGTTTTTACTTGTGGTGATTTCCAATGAATAACGGGGGTGTAGGGAAGACTAGCCAGATTCTATCCCTATCTAGTTCTTGAAACTTTTATTCTGAGTGCCTTTATAAGGTTGCGAACGACCAGTAAACGGAACTCGATCCTATAGAATTTAGAAATTCTATTCAATCTAGAACGATTTCAGGGCGCCTTATAAACGAGGAAGAACATTCTGTTAAATAGGTTCTAAAATCCCTTGGAGATATAGAATTCCCTTCATGTGTTACATCGTTTCTGTGATACTTTTTCACCGCCCAATCCAGACCTCAACGCCTTTCTCGATCATTAATACAATGCGTTCGACTACTTGGAGGTACGCATACCTTGATCGGTAACTCCTGAGAATATATCAGAAATCCCGATCTCAAAATCTTAATGGCTGAAGAAGACCCAGTCATAGATCTTGACGATGAGATTACTCGTATAATCCCAGGGCCTTTCACCAGTCGATTTCGGAACTCACCTTGAAGCGATTTTGAGCTTGTTGTGGCTATATCACTCACGACCTGCCGAATCTGGAGGTAGAGCTTCGCCGGGCTCAAGAATATTCACGGCCTGTCCTATTACCTCCTCATCCGAATATACATAGTCGCTTGATCTCCCAACCTCTAAAGCGTTGGTTGTGCAGGCGTATTTTCATATTTTCCTCGTGAGGGGAAAGTGAATAGACGGGATATACGCATACTTTTAAATTGGCGGAAGCAGATAAATCGATTCCCACTCCCTTCCCCTAATCGTTGCCTAATAACAAAAGTTCACCGCCCTACCAATTCAGTGGTATACGCACATGTAATTCCTGTTGGTAGGCTATACCTCCTCCCTATAATAAATCAGGACTACAAGTATCTCTAGCTACTTAGTTACGCTAAACTTAAGTATATAGAAATCACTTGTAAATATAAGCTTGATTACAAGCCTAAATAATATATAGCGTTAAAATTTAACCTTCAATAGTAAATATCTTACTTCTGCCTAGTGAATATAGTTGTTTACTAGCACGTTTAGGCGAGTCTATACTAAAAGGCTTCATAGCTTATACAATAATGTATACTTTAGCTTATTGTTTTATAAAATAGTCTCTCCGAGACCAAAGATTAGCGACACTAAAACAGGGGATTACGTACGTCCTAAAGCGTGTTATCGAGAGCAATATAAGTAATGTGCGGATGACGTACCTCAAGCTAGGACCACCTACTAGGCGAGGGAGGATGGGATACAGGCACATCAGGGTCTCATTTGCTGACAGCCATTGAGCAGATTTTTTGAACGAGAGCTGGACGGAATTGCTTGCTGTTGCATAACGCCTAATATTTGATGTTTTACTCATTTCCTACTAGTTCTAAATTAGTACTAGCTAACATCAACTCTGGGTATTTAATGCCCACCTGTACCTTACTTTTACGAACTGAAGAGTTGTCCCCTTTTATTCCTACACTTTCCGTGCCTAATAGTATGATTACTCTATCTACAAGTATGGCTTGACCTTACTTGGTGAAGGGATAGTTATTGTATGACCAGAAGGTGGGTCTTCCCAATAGGTGCAATTTTGACGAGCATTTCTAAAACACTTAGCTAGAAGACTTGCATAAGAACTGTTTCAACTGCTGCAAAATTCACTCAAATACTTTCAAATCAGCGTGTGTAGCTCCCGTGAACCAACGGGCTTTCAGGTAGATTTTGACAACACCACATAGCTCAAAACCTATCACGTTTCTTTGCATAAGGTAGGATACCGTAATGGCAATCCTGGCTGCACACGAGTCCCACAAGCCTTTAGCTGAATCTGAGATCTCCGAGGCCGAGGCGGCAAGCGTTGAGCAAAAGATTCGAGATACCTTGGACGATTACAACGAAGGTATGCTGAACAAAAGAAAGCTCGATTAGAATGACTATTCACGGACTTAGATACACAAAAAAAGCTTCTTGAAGAGGTACAAAGAGATGTCTCTCTTCAAGCCATTCTTGGAAACGTGGATTCCACCAAGTCTGAAAGTCCTTGTGGTGATGGAGCGTCTTTGGTCGAGTCTGGTAAGAAGTTCCTTGCGAGAACAATCCTTCAATTGGCTTCGCTGATTGACCCTACTAGAACCCCAACAACCTACTCGAGACACTCCACCAGAACAATCTCAGCTTCCACACGGAGCAAAATTCAAATTCAACATTCCAGGAACATTTGCGAACCACCGAGAAAAGATCGAAGGACGACTGGACTTATTCCCAGTATTGCTCTGTCTCAGCCACGGTGTCACAATGCTCGTTGGAATGGCTTTGGTAAACGCTTTTGACATCGATCCAGTAAATGCAATAATCTTGATTGCTATAGCTGTACGGCATATTTCGTCATCATGGCATTTCGGCATAACCAAAGATCAAATTCATAGGATCTCGCTCTGGTAGATGTACGCGGTCAAGACTCTCTCCTCAAACGTCTATACGCTTGAAGTGTAATAGGTATTGGAATATTGGTGCTGAACTTGACCTTGGACTTACTCGCTTGTTGATCAAAGAACAAAATTAAGATTTTGAAGTCGTTGGATATATTCAGAGAAACGACATTCTGTGACATTTTGGGGTGTGAGAAATGCGAGACGTCCGTGAACTGAAAACATTGATATAATAATTGACGATAAAGGCAAGGCGTCTACCGCATTTGTTTTCAATAGACAAGGAACTCGAAACCACCACGCTGCACCCCGTGATTGAGTTTGGAAGGAATTATCTAGGGGGTGTGTTGAAAGATGTTGTAAGTGTCAAAGAAAAGGCTCTAATACGAGATGAGCTCCTTTAGAATTTATTTTTATTTCCCGATTTAGCGGTACTCCTATTTACAACTTCCATTGGAAGTGCACATAAAATAGAGGCAAGGACAGTTCCAGAGATTTTTTCATGTGGCTAAGCTCAAAAGTCTTGGTATACAAATAAACCCCTCTCAGAGGCGTTATGGCGGGTCACATGGTATGAATCAAGCATGAAAGGTGGAATTCTAGTATATTGCGATTGTGGCACAACATCGTTTAAAAACAGGCTCTAGTTGATGTATAACGGAACAAAAGATAAGCTACGTGTTTTCTAGAAGGAGTCAGAACTCATATATTAATACCATTAAGTGTAAAGGAAATACAAGAAGATATTATAACTCGCTGTCTAGTCTACATAAAACTTCATCAAAAGACGCACACAAAAATTTTTAACAAGAACAGACTTAACGTGGTACAATTAACCTGCCGGAGGCACCAACCCATTCAGCAATCCAAGGCGAAGTAAGGCAAAGTAAGTAAAATTCTCTCACAAAGTTCCGGGCTCAAACACAGATGCGATGCTGATATCCTGCGACTTGAGTAGAGCTCCTTCGAACCAGCTTTCGAAGCGGAGTTTTCTTCCCTTCATGGACACTACAAGATCGTTCGTGAAAGTTTGGTAGTCTGTTCTCTGAACCATGCCTTTTGGAGTGCTTCCAAGAGATGTGCAAATCTCAAGGATGCGTTTCGCGCCTGGGTATCATTGTGTTAGTATTTCAAAATTTACTTTATAGAATTTCTTGTATTTAGGAAATAAACACACAATCACTTACCCCTATTGTGTTGGGCGTCGATATGGAAGTGGGATTTTGCTGACCCTTTCTTCCAGAAGATGACTTCTTCACACCGTAGTTCCTTGTTTATGGCCTCAAATTCATGCCCGCACTGGAACCGGGTCAATTCGCAATCTTCTTCAAGGGTTGTTCCCTATTAAGTCAGCTGTCGGCTACTAGGTACCAGTATTGGCATCAATGAGCTTACCTCACAGACAAACCAGTCAATTGTTTGCACATGCTTGGTTCCACTTCCCGACTCATCGTACTTTGGAATATATCCACGGTGCCCAGGATGCCTTTTGTTTGGATCCTCCAACCTGAGTATTCCAAGACTCATAGCGGCCCTTCTCTTTGGCCCAAGCACTTTTTTCCTCTCCATACGATAATCGCGAATCAGTGCACCCGAAGAAATTGCTGACGCGCTACTTTACATTAGAGCTGTATTCTGATATTCATGATTATCAGTCATCAGACTCACCTGTCATCGGGGGAAGTATGAACCAAGCTAACCTGGTACACTAGGTTTGAGTCATTGGCAAACTCTCTGAGAAATTCACTCAGCCGTACGCGTAGATATGGCGATGCCCCAAACCCACCAACCAAAAATACTTGCTAATCGACGATTCATCAGTATCAGAGTATTGTGTTCCATGGTGGATAACTCACCTTTATCCGCTTATTCGCGTGAAGACATCTCTGAAGGATTGTTTGCAAGAGGGCTTCAACCCTTCTCACAATAGGCTCAAAGATTTCCTTCCTCATCTCTTCGCTAGAGAAAGATCTTAGTATCAATACATCGTGAGGGTGTCTAACCATACTTTGAGAGAACGACGTAGTTCTGCAAAAAGCTTCTTTCGCTGCAAGGCCTCAATCCTTGGACGTAAAACTTTTTTCTCTTGTCCCTGAACTCCTGACTTCTTTTGTGGCGAATCTCAAAATCATAGACTAGTTTTCCCACAGAACTTTCTATATCATGAAGGTAGTCTTCTGACGCCAACTTTTGCCTTATCAAACTCTCAAAATTGACATTCAAAAAGTTCGAGCCACAGTTGTCCCCTACTCCAACGTTAATTTGTTTCGTGGGGGCTATTGGAGGGAAAGATTTGCCAATTGGATCACAGACAGCCTGCTTTGTTCTCAAAAGTCGTTCCACTGAAAGATCGTAGGCTCCAACATCCACAGTTCCACCACCGCAGTCGAGAATCACAATTGTTTCAGAGGACTACTTTTGTCAATTGTGCAACATCAACTACTGGAATTTGGCACTTACTCGAAAGTTTTCTGGCCAGGATGCAACTATAAAGTTTGCTGCTGCATCAGGTTCTAAGGTGAAGAATATGTCAGGAACTTGACTAAATGGCAATTTCGTCAACCCAGATTTTCGGACCGCTGTGGCCAAAGCATTTTCCATGACCCTCCGAGAGAATTCTTCACACCACATCGCGGGCACTGTCAGAACAAAACTTGTCTTATATGTCTCCGAAAGGACTCTTTTCTCTCCGAGACGCTCCTTTGTGTGTGACAGCACCGGGGTCAAAAAATCGGCGATGATGTCTTCGACATCTTCCACAGAAACACTTTGAAAATCCTCGCCTCTGTGGCGCTGTATGATTTGCCGATCGATGAGGGCCGCCGTTCGAGAATAAAGCTGGGCTCTCTTGAATTCGGTGTGCTGAGACCCCAGAAGCATTAGTTTAGGGCTATCAATCAGATGGTCATTCTGGCGAAATATTCCAGATGAATCCATAAAAGCCAGGGCACTCGTTACATGGTGACCCCAAAGAAGCTTTTTGGAATCAGTAACCTCGATTTACATGTCGTATAGTCTGTTGCCTTCAGCGTTCGTAGGCGCTGTCTGGCGCTGGTCATTCCACCAACCAGACTTCTCCTCTTCATCTGATACATCAGTCAAGTGGTGATCTTCGTGATCTGGGTCACCCGAAATCTCCTTCGTCCTAGGAATATCCGGATACCAAATTTTCGTTGGTACCTGATTACTCCCGTAAACATCGCCGGGATAATGGGCAATCTTTATGATATCGTTGAGAGTCGGCTCATGACCTTCACCCTGCAAAAGAGCTGATACGCAAGTGTTAGCCGCTCCGAGATCAATCGACAACGTCAAGTCCGTGAACAACGGTCCTGATCTCTCTGAGCTTGACTCCGCTGCGAAAGCAGGCGTAGTATTGCGTGGAGAAAGATTTTCTGGAATTTGATGGAGACCTTCTGGAGACGCCAGATTTCCTAGACCTTCGACTTCTCGATTTAGTTATACGTCCTCTGATAGCAGTGTAATTGCCATTTTGTTTCCCTCGCTCCATGGTGTAATGTAGAAAGATTGAAGGATAGAATGATATTCTTGTTGTCAAAGTAATGCTGTAGTTTTATTGTGGTGATAGGAAGCCTAGGTAACTGCTATGGATCTCCTGTGTCTTATTGCTTCGCGATCGAACAACTGGAATTGGGTTCCAATTGCAGATGAAGTTGACGAAGCTAGATGGGCTTGTAGCTATTCAGGAGATTGTTGGAAATTGAGATGAGTACTGTTTTTCGGCATCAAATTACCGCGTTTGCAGGTTTTATGACCACTACAAGTCCAAGCGTGAATTCAAGCGTGAAGACCTTGAGCTCTGAAAACAAACACCTACAGAAGTCTTCTGTGCATATGATGGATGGGATCTCTGACGTGCTGTTTTCCCTTACAACTGTTGCCTCCCGAGGCAATGAGTTGGGGGCTGGGTGCGCGGGCTCTTCAGTATCTCCCCGGACCAATAATGAGACTGCACGATCCAATCACCTTCCCCTTGTAGTCCCGTTGCAGGAAAAACATGCCATTTGTTATTCTATGCGACTTGGGCATTATGACCAAACTTACTCGTACTAACCGCATTAAGCACAGGACTGAATTCCTGCCTTCTTTAGAGTATAGAATATTCCCAATTATCTAATTATGGTCGGGTTGTGGTTAGCTGTGATGGTTGTGTCTAGGGCCAGATGTTAGGGTTGTATTAGACTTAGTGGAATATGCATGTCCAAAAGTAGTGTGTACAAGTTCTAATTGCTGTAATGCTTTTGGGAAAATTACCCAATTGGGTTAGCTCAAAGTGACTTGACATAAGTCTTCTCATAGCAGGACACTTCAAAATCCCGGAACCCTTGAAGCTCATTACACCACTTGCAAAATACCTTGCAAAGTACCCTGCGACATAGTACTGTGAGTCACTATTTAACTACCCTGGAGTTCTTCTAATAGTGAGTAGGCTCTTGAATTAGGAATGGCCCCCTGCCGGTTTTGCAACCAGAAAGTGGCAAAAGGCGCGACGCCACTTCTGTCCTTATCGCTGTGCTCTGAATGGCTTTTGTGGTGTTTGAACGTATATGCATTATTCCGGAATCTATTCCCAAACTAACAGGGTTCCATTTTGCTTTGAGACTACAGCATGCAAAAATTCAAACTTAACATCAACATCGTGAAATATTTGTATTTGAAAGTACTCTCATTATCCTCTATGATGCCGGGTCTCTTCAATAAAGAGCTAGACAGTATTCTTTTAGCATGGCTTAACCTTAGCACCGAGAATAGCAATCTCCGGCCAATTTATCTTCCAGCATTTGCTTTCTTCGGAATCGAAGAAATCACAGAAAAGCAATGCGCCAACAGATACTCAAGCCTCGTTAGGGGTTTCAACTCAAGATATGGGAAGGACACAAATGCAGCCAGACTGACAGCGGAGACGTTGAGGAAGGAGGGAAGTTTTGTTTTGAAACTTGCACCTGTAATGGAGGAACTGATCTGTGAGAAAATGGAACGTTTGAAGGAGTTAGATAGACAGAATCTCCCGCCACATTTAATTGGCACCAAAAGAGCACGATCTACTGCGCAAAAGCGCACAATCAACCAGGTTGAAGAGGTAAATTCAGATACCCAAACTTTGTTACCGCACTTTGCTGACCATTACGCAAAGCAGAAATCATCATCAATTTCAGCCAAACGAAGAGCAAAACCCGCCAGTCCACAGCTCGCTGTGGTCATCAAAACTGGTCCAGACTCAGCAAACCGCCGCCTGATTGAATCGGAGAAAACAATTCGGATAATGGCAGTGCAGCTGCAGCAAAAAGACCTCGAAATACAGAATAAGGCGTAAGACTACCATCTCGCGAAGAGGGAGATCGGCAGGCTCAATGGCCTTTGTGGGACACAGTCAACGCGAATAGGTGCCATGGAGTCAACCCTCAAAGAGGCTCAGCCAACGAACGATTTCCATCACGATCCCTTCTCATCTCTAGGGTTTCTATACATTAAGAACACCTACGAAATCATTCAGACGGGACATAGGCAGATTAAGCTCGCCGGCTTGGTACATGAGTACCCACGTCAGCCTCGACTTCTCGATTTGAGTATGGTCAACAAAACGATACAAGTTTTCGCCAGGGAACTAGGGTCGCTTCTTCCTGATGATATTCACTGTGATTCCCTCCTTCAGTCCCATGAGATGGAGAATACACAGCTTTCACTTATGATGCTTTTTAACCATATCTTGGGGGAATGCGAAGATGACCACAACAAGTTGACAGAAATATATCATCGGTGGATTCACCGCGTCGAACCTGAGGCCCTCATACAGAGCTTGATCATGGCAGCGGTGAAAGGTTGGGTCTTTGAAACTGACTGTTCTATTTTCAGTGGTCCAAAAGAGAAACCGTTGTTGTCAAAATACCAGGAGATTATTCAAGACTGTTGTAAGATCCCATCTCTAATCCTACTATGGCCCAATCACTGAATTGAGTAGCTAGCTGGGATGAGCTTAGAAACCTGGATATCGCTGCCCATTACTGCCTAATGGAAACTCGGGATTTCTGTGAGAATGTGATTTCGCACAAGGCATCTGAGCTTGCCTGTAATCTCTCCAAGATACTTGCACCTTTGTTCATAGACCCCTTAGACGAGATCGCCAGCACTGATTTGGAATCCTGGGGCCACAGTAGCGGGACCGTTGAAGAACGAAAATTCCGAATTGGCGACAGTGTTTGAGAAAGCTCTCGATTTAAAGGCGAGGGCTCTCCTAACAGACAACGAGCTGTTTTTCGAAATGCAGGCTCCTGGCATAACAGTTAATGGAGTGGACCCCCCATCTTGTAGGTTTTTGGCTACGCTAAAGATAAATGATTGCCCAGGAAGAGTGAAGAGCGTTATTGGTAGCACGCCTGAGAATGTTTTGAGTAAAAGTAGGCACGGAGGGAATGTTCGGGAAAAAGAAATAAGAATTGTTGTTCATCGAGATGATCAGAGCTCGTCAAGCCGTGCAAATTGCGGCTGCTCAACTGAGAAGCTACCTGGAAACGAGGGAGAGTCTGGAGGTGGAGGAGACGAGCGGGAATCTGGAAATGAGCAAGTATCTGGGGATGACAGGTTACATAGCTGCAAGCGGTGCGGCAAGGTGTGTCAAACTCTTTCGGGTTTGAAGCTCCACATTAACCGCAGTACGTATCTCCCTCCCTTTCTCTATACACTGCATAGAGTGGTAACCTTTCACACAAGGCCAATGTGGAAAGGCGATAGCAGCTCAGGCGACGGAGCCAGCTGCTACGAAACCTAGCGCAGGCTCAGTTATTCAGCCACAGTATCAAACAGATATAACCTCGGAGTCAAGCTTGTCTACGATTTCTAACTCTGGCTCCGACAATGAAGCCTGGATATCAGACCCGCCTGTGGCCATCAGAGTAATAGAATCCCCTCTACTGTCCTCTATTTTTCATAATTTAAACCTGATACCACTGTACTAACCCCTACGAAGTCAGTACGCCCCGAGGGCCAAAATGAGGGCTGTTTACCCTGCCCAGAATGCGGGATTGTTGTGACCCGAGCGAGTTTTCGAAACCACAAAAGTATGTTACCAAAGGATTTCCTATAACTTCAGAGCGGTATACCAACACATGATCTAGAGACGTGTGTAAAATGCTCACACAAGGGCTGCGACGTTTGGGGAGGACCTAAGCAGTTGCGAATACATAAGAGACCACATGATCCCAAAGCGGAGAGATTTATTTGCGACCGTTGTGGAGTAGAGCTTGCTGCCCAAGAAAGTTTGATCAATCACAAAAATAAAGGTGCTCTATTCTATATTGCCTACATGAAAAATTGCATACTGAATTTATATTAGGGATTTGTATGCAATGCCCCAAATGCCACAAATGGGTGACACACGAATCGGGGAGGAAAAAGGGTCGAGGTTTAGAGCTTCACCTGCAGAATTGCCAGGGAAGTATTCAGCAGGCCGGTTTGACCCCTCAATCGACGGAGACTCAAGTACTCCCTGCTCCTGTCTGGTCGCCAGTATCCAGCCGTTCGGAATCCTCTGTAGTGGTGGGAGATGCTGAAGTATCTTCAGCTCAGTAATTGTACTCGTGGGGGATATTTGGGATGACAGGAGAGTACGCGAGAGGGGGTTATGTATCGATTAACTTAGGTTTCCGGGTGTGTTCATTCAAATCGACCAGTGGCAGTTTCTGCTGCACTATTCAATCAAATAGAAGCAAATGTAATTTTGCATCATGTTTCTCGTCCAAGGCTTAGTGGAATAGTGGTCTCATGTTGACTTAATTCGTTAGCAACACTACCCATACATCCTTTACAGCCCTTACGTTTGTCTTTTCAGCCTGACGTTCGGATCCGCAATGCTTGTTTTAGATTTTGTTCCAATAGGTCGTAAAAGTCTCCATTTCTTCATTTCTTGATTCAATTTCTATTATACTGTTAGACCGTGTATAAAATCAAGAATGTTTCATCTAGAAATCGAAAGATTAGCTTCAAAATTTACACTAGAAACGGCTCTTGAATAATAATATTCATTAAAGACTTATTAGTTTATTACTTAGATAATAACTATTTATTAAATATTTATCCTTAATAGCTTATCTAGTAATTCTAATCTAAAGTATTAAAAGAGCCTTCTCGAGGCGAAAATATAGCGTATTAAACTTAAGAGATAGTAACAATTAATAACTAGAATCCTACCTTATTCTAGAGGGGGAGTATAGAATATTCTATTCTATTTAAGATAATAAGATAGCTTCAATTTTCACTTTAATCCCCCTTAATCCCTCCCTCCCCCCCTCTAAAAACTTTACCTCCTTATTAGTTAAAAACTACTCTAGAATTCTAGAATTCTATAGAATCGAGTTCTATTTACCGTTCGTTAAAAGTTAATTATATATTAATATCTACTTAACCTAGTACCTACGTATAGTAAAACCATTCCTCTTACGCCCAGTAAAAACCAGTCTTGAATTGATTCTTATAAGTTCACAGGTTTCGGGGCCGAGAATCATATAAAAGGAGTATTTCAAAAGACTGTTTCCAAGTATATACTACTAATATAAGTAGAGTAAGTAAGTAGTACTTAAGTAGTTAACTATTCCTCTACTATACTATAGAGCTAAATATTCGCTAGGGTTTAATCGTAAGAAACCTGTCTCCTCTACACTACTCGCTATAAAAATAGTAGTCTATGCCTGATATAGGGGCACTCGGTTAAGGTGGACCAACCACCCGGAGTCCAGCCAGCGTGGTCGGGCCGACACTACTCGAGTTAATCGAGGAGTCAAGTTAATTAGGTACTACTACTTAACTTAACTACTCGAATTTGACACGCTGGCTAGATGGAGACGAAGAAAGAAAAACAGCGACAATTGATAAGATATACGGTAGATGATGCATAACAAATACAATGTGTTTCTTCTCCAACCACTCCACAAGACTCAAATTGGCGAGATAGCAATGGCGGACGACCTGGTTTATGAAGAGAATGTACAATACAATCATCCAAAGATTCTCATCCGTGAAGACGGGGACCGAAAATTAAAAACACCAGATACCCAGTCGTAATTTGAAAGAGCTACGAGATGAAATCACAATTCAGAAGCCGAAATACACCAAATCGTTAAGAATCGAATCCTACACGGTACACCCGAGATCCGCATTGCATATCATTACTTTCTACTTACCCCGAACACGACAATGAAACCGGATAACGAATCACAAAATCACAGCATAGCACCCAAGCAGAGAGGGCCTTAAAAAACATGGGGGATAAAGATAATATATTTTCTGATTCCGGTTTACTCCCAGACCCAAATTCGTGGAATACTTCCAAGTCGTGGCGCGATCAAATCACTATCTTCATTCCCACCAAGCCCAAATCGCCCCATCCGATGGACAGATAGATAGGCAGGTATCCAGACGAAGTTGTCCCTTTTCTTCCAATCTTCGCCATCTATCCTTTGTATCCTAACCACTCAATCCATTTAGCCCCAAACCAGGAGATGGCAGCCCCCCCCCATTTCCAGTGGCGAGAAAAAAAACAAAAGCCGAATGCAAGTGGCAGCCTCAGACTAAGAAAGCCTCGAAGCTCGATGGTCCCCCAAACTCCGAATCCATGCGGTGGTGAAAATAATCTTGGTATATCAGGCGAACAAAAGACAGGGACGATGTCAAGTCTCGCTGTCATAAAAACAAAGTTGAATAATGATGTGTAACGCCATGAACATGCAGTGATGCCAACCCCAGTTTTTCTGACTGGCCTTGGCTTTTTTGCTTTCTAAAATAACCCCCCCGGAAAGAAAAATACGTAAGCATCCGGTGTTCTGCCCGGTCTTTTTTCAAATGTGAGAAATCTTTAGGTCAAAAGAAGCGATCTTGTAATTAAGCGTGAAAATTAGGTTGTGGTAAAACAGGCCACTGTTGATAAGGCCCTTGAGAAGCGTATTCAGGCACAACGCCAGGACGGTAATCATTGCGTCGACCAAGTGGTTGATAGTGCATCTGGTCAACATTGGCGGAGTAACCGTGCATTGATGCAGAAGGTGGTGGGTACAGAAGAGTGTTGACATGCCGAACTGGCTTGTATGGAGAATTCCGCTGTTGAAGAAAGAACGAGGGCGAAATATGGCCGGGATTATGCCCTGGAAAATTTCCGGAGACAGGTGAAGAACCAAGTGACAATAAATCTTGAACCGAGCGAGGACTCGTTCGGCGTGAAGGAGTGGAGTAACCATTTCCGTTTGGTGTTCCATGTTGGCTAGGTGGTCCAGTTGGTGTTAAGACGTGTAGGTTAGGAGGCCAAGATGGCGTGGCAGGAAATACCGACGCCATGGAACGGCTGCCGCTGAGGGGTGGTAGGAGGGGCACAATCTGTGATAAAGCGGATGAAGGATTGTTGTAGCTGCTCATGGGCTGGCTTGTTGAAATGGTCAAGTTTGGGACCGGTAATCGAGGAAGTTCATTTCTTCTAGGTGGCGTGGCTGAGGGGAACGAAGCAGCTACCCCGTTGGGAGCAGGTCTCGTGACACGCTTGGTAGCTGGCTGTTCCAAGTTGCCCTCGTAACTACGTTTCCGAGCAGAAGAGCCCAAATCATGCTCTGGCATCGTTGGTGCATGCGTGGATACAGTAGCACCATAATTGGCGGGCCATTGCTGGCTATAATGGGACCCTGTGCTGTTCGATGAGGAGGCTCCTGGCTCGGGCTCCCATTTTCTGTATCCGCTAGTTAAAGAGGGAGGCGAGTTCTGCATCGAGCTTGGTGGTGATGGCAACGCAGGTGGGAGAACTGCATGTGCGTGTGGCGATATCTGCAGAACGGGTGCCTTTGCAGCCTCATCACAGTAGATCCAGAATTTTCCTAGCTTTTCTTGCCATTCCTGCCATTGCTCTTTCGATGCCAATAGGCTGTATCTCATGTTGCTAAGAAACTCGACTTCCATGACATGGATCTCGGTGACCGATATTCCGGAAACTTCTGCCCAGGTCTTATTGGTATAGGTGTTGTCGTCAAGAACTATATAAGTTTAGCGTAAGTCCTATTTCCGACATGTCCTCCAAAACCTACATTTGTTGCCCAACATCAAAGCCACAGTGAGTAATCTATACTCGCTACCACTTCTTCCCTTGACAGCGGGATTGATCTTCTTCAGTCGATAGATGAATAAAAGAGCAAGCAAGATGACATTCTGTGTAACCTGCGTTGTCGAAAGAATTGTGACAACCCATTTTTTAAATCCGCTGGATGGTAGAGCTTCGTCTCGCAGTCGATTTATTGTACCTGAAGAAATACCGACATTTTCAGCTTTCTTTAGAGTTTCTGTCGACTCAAACCAAAATAGACAAGTAATCTGTGAGGGTGTGTTAGTGTATGCCCATCAGCTAAATAAAAATAGCACACATACTTGAGCTGCAAATTCCGCAAGACTTCCACCACTATTATTTATTGAAGACGGAATCTGTAGGCTCGCTAGTATCAAATCATTCCTGCTGCTTGGCCTGGGAGACGGTTCTTCTTCTGGAGCTAATGTAGTTGACCTAGTCGATGAGAGGGGACTTGTTGGCTGTCTGTAAGACTGCTGAGAGATCTGATTTTCATTTCGTAAAAGTGAAGCTGTAGGAGCGGACAGTTGGTTCAGTGTTGAATGTGGATGTGGTACCGCACATTGCCTGACTGTTGGAAATCCTCCATAGCTCCTTCCGGTAGTCACAGTTGCTGAGTTCGAATAAGTTGAATCTGGTCGGCTGGCATATGGGTTATATTGCGGGTGTTGGTATGTAGTTCCCATCTCGTCTTCAGGTGGTGTATGAAGGCCGGCCTTGACAGGAGCCTGGAAATAGACTGGTGTATGCTTAGACGGCGAGTGGTCCAGAGTTCTGAGTTTATCGACACTGTAAGTTGGATAGGTAGAGGAGAGGGGGAAATCGAGAGGAGCTGGTCTTGTAGCTGTTCGATGCATGGAGAAGGTATTTGAGAGAGTCGGTGGACAGGGTGCAGGTAAATGGTGGTCGTTGGTAGGTATTCTTTCGACGCTATCCCGAATTGTCTTCACTCTCGAAGTGGAACCTGGATCAAATACTCCCAGAGCTTCCAGCACTCCGCTCCGAACTGACTTTCCTTAAAACCCTAGAAAACCAACCAAAACTACCGGACGTAGAGACGTTACCGCAGAGCCATGAAGGGGAACCGCAGGTACTGAAAGTTGCAGAGGGCCAGTTCCAGTAAAGTGTTGGAAAGGGTATTTATGAAATTGTTTAAATGTTTGTGAAAAATTGGGAATGGGCGAATGCTCCGTGTTTTCGAGTTTTTGAAGTGGAAAGGGCGAGGAGCGTTTAATCAGATTCGTCAGGAAAGTATTATGAGGTATGGACGAGGAACTCGACTTGTCTCGGTTAGGCTAGAGGTCTAATGCGGTTAAAGCACGACACTAATTCTTGGGCGGGAGAAACAAAGCAGGCGAGGAATGACAATTTCTACAAGTACAGGAATGGGTTCCAGATCAGGAGGAGAAGGTCAATCAAAATCAATGGTGAATAATGATGTTGCAAATAGTGGAGGCTGATCTCAAAGAAGTCAGTCGTTCTCGGTTGATGTCACAGGAGTAGAGGCCGATTGCATTTGAGCCAGTGAGCTGCGGGCGTTGCGAGCAGGGGGCTGAAGTGGGTTAGGGAGCGAGTGTGAGTGGGCTGGGCAGTAGTGGACATTGGAAGTAGCGGCCGGGGTGGAGCGGGGTGGCTCGCTCAAGGAGTCAAGTCAAGGAAGCATCGCCTTCACGCCAGACGGAAGCCAGACACCAGAAATGTTACAAGGCAAGGGTAGGGGTCTAGGAGTAAGAAATAAGACCCAGGATGGGACAGAAGGGCACCGCACCGTACCACACCACCGACAGGAGACACGAGGACCTTCCAGTACTGTCTGTTGAGAGCTCGCTCGCTCGCTCACGGATCCGTACCGTACAAGCAGCCGGGCAATAAAATCAATCATAAAACAACCATGCCAGAGGAACGCCTTTGCCATGGGTGTCAAGATCTCTCACCACATCATCGTATCAAATCAATTTACCAGGATCCGGAATTCCAAGCAAGACTCTTTCCTGCTTCTGCTTCTGCTTGTTGCTTTGCTTTGCTTTGCTATGCTTGTACTCACACCCACCGCCTTTCTGCTTTTGATAGATAGTGCCGCCCGCGCTGCCTGGATCGAGCAACATGCCGCTTCCACGCTTGAGCTGTGAGGGTGAGGGTGAGCTCACAGCTGTGCCTGGCTTGCTATCATAGCATGGTGTTGTCGTCGTTGCCATCATGCAAACCAATAGCACCAAGCCTTCCCCCAGGCTTCGTGCCTCGTGCCTATCACCTCCTAACAAAGCAATCGACGCTGCGTTCCGCTTGCGTGGAGGCAACACCTTTTTCGCTCCGTTCCAAGCGTCCGTTTCTCCTCCCACCCTTTGGCTCATCACGAAGCGCGGCTTGGGCTGGAAATCATCAGCAATCACGCACGCACGACCACCGGCATGGCCTGGGCAACACCCCTCTGAGTCTTCTCGACAAGGAAGTCAAGGCGAGAAAACGACGTGAAAAGACGGGGCGTTGGTGTTCCATCTGGAATTATTTTCGCAAAGTCCCATAGTTGCAGCGCACATATGCGCCAATCACCATCGGGGCACGTACACACTGCACTAACCGGAGCATCGAGAAATGGATTTCCGTTCAGAAAAGCTCGTGTCTTAGATGCGCGAGCGAAGCCTGGTCCTGGGTATACACTCCTGCATAAAAAATAAATCATTTGTGACCAAGATCGGTTAGGATGAAGGCCACCGTTTACTGCGGCGTGCAATAATGAAAGTGTATTCAGTGACAATAGGGGCGTTTTAGCGTTGCTGCTACTCACTTTAGAGCAAATTTGTTCTTTCCGCTGGACACGGTCCTCTGCAATAAGCTTGAAGCAGCAATGCAGGGGTCGTTTTGGGGGGTTTTTTGTCTTGGTCTCGGAGCTGAGAGGTACTATTCCTAGCGGGTCCCTGATTGGCTGGTGGAATTGTTGGAGCAAAGGGTGACACGGAGGAAGAGTGAGATGCCGTTAGCGTAGGATGGGTGTCGTTATTGACAAAGAAAAGACTGGTGTAATCTGTAGCAATCCTTGGTTCACGCCAAAACAAATCTGCCGACCACACACCTTCCCAGCATCTGGGCCCGCCCCAGTGAGTCGTGGTGAGTTCATCAAAGGCCTGCAAGCCAAACAAAGCTCGTAAATTGCCCCCTCATTAATAACTTCAGACTCACGACGGAAAAAAAGTAATAATAACGATAAATTCTCGGCAACAAATCAACAAAAGCCGAGCCCAATCTTGCTACTGGCAAGGCAACAAACTTTGTTAAAGGCTGAGTTTTCCCTGCCTGCTTTGCTCGGGTTTGTTGGCATTTAGTGCATGTGTGTGTGTGTGTCTCCATTGCGTGGTGGTGAAGAGTAACACTGGGTTTTGAAATCAGGCTGATATGAAGCGAGACTCATCCCTTTTTCTTCCCTACTGCCTGCGCCAATTACAGGTACTTTCCTCGTACACTTTGAGGGTGCATCCCGTATATTTTGTGCAAGGGAGTTCAGTTGGATTTGAATTGACGACGATCACGAAGCTGCTACGCAAGACAAGGGGGCTGAATCGCTGATGATGTGGGAAAAAAAGGTGGAAAGCACTGGATTGGGCTACGTTCGGGGCGGAAAATGTGAAGCAAGCCCTAGGATTGCAGGCCAGGCCATGCTATTATTGTACGAAGTACTCAGAAACCAATGTCCCCGTAATAATAATCCCGCGGCTGCATGGCACTATGGGCTGATATCATTCATATTGACACTATCATTTTCGCGGAGGAAGTACTAAAAGCGCTGGCTAGTTTTGTTGGGTCACATCAGCGCATTGCTTGAATAATGGATTGGCTTTCTCGTTTTAGCCGTCGGCCGAAATAGGTTGCGCCTCGGATTTTCGACGGCTTATTACTAGGAGAGTTCGTAAATGTTTCGACTCCATCATTGTTCTGCGTGATATTCGGCATTTTGGTGGCGACCTGCAATGGTTGAGTGAGTGGGTTTGTCGTTTGCATTTTGCATTTTGCATTTCGCATTTGGCAAGAAGAAACAGAAACTGTGGTGGTGGCGGAAAGCATGCCCCTGCCCTTGTTTGAGCGAACCACGATCATCTGCTCCAATGCAATAAAAAATAACTCTACTAGACTTTGGAGACGGAGTGTCGTGGTCATGATGAATGCTTTTCCTCGGCACCGAACGAGCAACTGCGACATTCACAGAAAACGCCCGGCCTGAGCGGATACGATATGACTACCGCATTACAGCCAGACTATCTCTCTGGGCGCCTACACGGGACGTGATGATGAACATGAAGGAGAGATCGAGATGTTGGTGCAAGACTTTGTAGATTGGATTGTGGTGCCAGCTTGATACTGTCCGACACGCACTCGCTGGATTGGTCCGCCTGCACCGGCAGGGCGTGGCGTTGAAAATGGAGTCGTGATGAGTCGTGATAAGGCTGCACGAGGTTCAATTTGAAAGTTTGAAGTGCACCAACAAGTGGAGCCCAACTGCTAAATGTACTTCTCACTTGGTGCTTTGCGACCATTCGATTGGACCCGAAGGAGGGCGGGGGACGGGGTTTGCAACCGAGAGGACCTCCCCTCCCCTCCATTATTGCCCCAAACTTCCAGCGCCAGGCCAGGACCCCTCACCTAACCCGAATCCCACCATCGTCTCGCGAGATTGCTGATTGCTGATTGCCGGTCGGTTGGTCGTGTCGCGATGGTCGAGAACTGACGCTGGGTTTGGGTCTATTCGCGGAAAGTGAGAAGAATGCAACGCAAGGCATGTCAGACGATGAGATAGGATGGGATGGGCGGGCGCTATCAGACAGAGCGCGCAATATGGAATGATGATGAACATGGTGATGCCGAAATGCGCTGAGATTAACACCCGCAATATTGTACGGCAGAAACATGGCGAGGCTGCGTGTTTGAGGGGGGTCCAGGTCGAGGCTGGAGTGCAGTGGAGTGAGTGGGAGTGGGCAGCAGAGGGAGAGAGGGAGAGACTAGCAGAGGAAGGAGTAGGTTTAGCGACTCGCCTTTGCTTCGCTTAGGATCAGGGCCAGCGCGAATGTGTGGAGTTTGAATTCTCTCCGTTCTCCGTTCTCCGTGCTCCGTGGATTCTTTTCCCACCCACCCACGCATGTAGCGCAGCCGTGCGCTGTTGGTTTTATCTCTGTACTCCCGTACCGTACCGGTACTGTACTCTTCTCACCCGCTGTGCTTCAAAAGCAGCTTCCATTTTTGCTTGGATTTTGAATTCCCCAGTGTGACTTGCCGTTTCCCCCTCGCCCCCCCTCTTGAGTCAGGGTGATCTTCTTGATCGTACCCAGCCCGGTCTGTACTCGTACCGTTGACGTGCCTAAGTTACTTACCTACAGAAAAGACACTTTCTCCTTGCCTACGCAGTACTCTATGATCCAAATGAATTATGAACCAAGGTCCAAGGTCCAAGACGGCATCATTACGACAACACCATCCTTTCACTGCGGACCATGACGACTGACGACCTAGGTCACTCGACGCCCAGGCATATTGCCGCCTGGGACTCAAAATAGTACCTACTTCGTACTTGGAAGTACTACCATACGGTACAGTACCATTATTACTGTAGATTCTCACTCCGATTTGATGCTCTAGCTCGACAAGCATTGCCTTTTACACCACTACTAACCAACCCACTAACAAGCACCACCAAAATCTCACACTTGGGTCAAGGCATTATCGCCAGCGTCATGCGCCATATCCCAGGCCGGCTGAGGGGAAGTGTAAAATAATCATCTTCTGTTTGGAGGTATCTCGGTACCGGTACTCCTACCGCAGACGTCCTAGACTCTAGCGCCATGTAACCTTCAACCTGTGTCCACCGTCCATGTGTGGCGTTTACCCGCAGAGACCACCTATCGAGGCCATGGTGATTCAGTTAGTCAACAGGAGGCTCAGTCACCAACAAGGCCACGACAGCTGCTCCCGTATCACCTCATCACATGGTGACAATTTTTCGGGGTTCACAGAATTAGAATCCAGAAGGTGCTGCTGCTCTTGAACCGAATAGAGCGGGTTCCCTTCCTTGGTAATAGACCTCTAGCAGTCACTTATTCGGGATCGCACAATAATCCGCATAGATATAGTACCCACTCGCTCAGAGAAATTACTGGTACAGACCGGTCATTCATTTTGTTGGCGTCAAGCGTTCAGCATGTTTTTCAGCCGTATCCATGTAGAGGTGTGCCAGGTTGTGAGTGATGAGATTATTGTGGGATAGGTCATGGTTCAAGGCCCAAGCGGATTGGTTTCGATTTGACAACAACAACGACAATCGCTATGCCAATTATATCTCTTCGCTCACGAAATCCTCGGCAAGAGGTTTCTCCAAGTGCTGACTGGAGGTTAAAAATGTCAAGAACCGGAAATTCCTTCCGCACTGTCTTCCCGGGCCAGGCTGGCAGGGCCCCAGGACATTACCGGTTCTGCTCTTCATATCAATTCCAAGGATAGCCGTACTGTCGATTGGAAGTTGGGATACCAGATCATCCGGAATCTAAGATGCAAACGCCGCCAATAGATTCGGTGCAAGATGACAAAGGACCAATGGCCATTGACTTGACACAGCAGCCACAAAGCGGCGTTTGGGGTTTGAGTGGGGTTGGTCGTCATGGAGGAGGATTGGCGAAATAAGTAGATATCAAACTACAAATCAGGATGGCTATCCAGCCCAGACATTCGGTAAAATCCTACAGAATTCTGTCAGCATGGCATCTTGAGTTCCAGTATGGGGTGCTTTCACCAGACCAATTAACTCTCTTTGCGCGTAAAAATGGAAAAACATAGTGGTCTTTCCTCGTTTGCTGCTACAGAATCTACGACCAATATTCTCCATATCCTTAGGGTTCTGTTTTCGAAGCCAGCATCGCATGTATCATCAAACATTGCATGCAGCACCCATGCCCAGGTGCCTGTTTCCAAAGGAATATGTGCATCAGCTACCGATCCGGCAGAACAGCAAAACACTTTCTTTCACACCAACACACAAACCTACAAGGAGGAACCGACCAAGAATGGATGGAGTCTCCTATCATGCGCATCCTCGGTGGGCTCCCCTTCATTCCACGGAAGTGATTTACTAGGAGGGTTCAGTCGTGTGTCAGCCGTGTCGTCCAGCGTCGCAATATGCAGTTCAAAACATGGATTCTTCGAAGGAACTTGCATCCTCAAATAATGTAAATCTACCAACTTCCATGTGTCCACTTGGATATGCCAAGCGAAGCCATTTCGAAGTTGATGATTCGCTATGGTTATCCCTTCCTGTCAAACAGCATTCCGCACGCACCCTCAACCGGACCGAGTTACACAATTACACCTCTCACACTATCTGCTTGTTCACCGACACTCCACTCCAATGCCCACGCAAGCCATCTGGAGTTCCGTACTCTGTTCACCAGAGGTACAGTATGCAAACATGCCTTCATGGCAGGGTTGGAGTCACAGCCATAGGAGAGAATACGGATGATAAACTGGTTTGGCCAACCTCGCCGCCTACTTGCATCTCAAATCAATGCAACCGCCCGTCTCCTACTGTATCTTCCTCAAATCAACATTCCTTCATCTCCAAACAAATGTGCTCGTCTGTTTTTCAATACTTTTCTTCAAACGAGGCTGGCTGGTGTTTTACAAGGCGATTTATCTGACTTCCTTCAGGTCGTACAGAGTCGTTTTCTGGCCTGTACCCCGCCAGCTTTTTCATCCGAAATTTGCACTTTTATGACTATCTTCTTCGCCTATGTTTTCTTTGCTTCGAGTCACCGAGCTTAATGTCATGATGATTCCTGTCGTCTGTCCTTCCTTCTAGATGCGCCATGCTCAAAATAGCGAGTGCATGCAGCCGACTGGAATTTTTCGTGCATAATCTGGAGTGGGCTCCCGATCCAGAGCGAAAATAAACAACGTGGGAAGAAGTTGTTGATAACTTTTATTTCATTTGGGTCATTCATGAGAAGAAAAAGTCGTGCCTCAAAGAGAGATCGGCGATGGCAGACATGCTGGACAGTGGGTCGGCATTTGTTGGTGGGGGTTGTGGTAAGGAGTTCTTCAAGACAACTTTTCAGTGTGAGGCATCACTACAGGTGAGACCTGAGCTACATTACTTGCCTAGGGATCACACGTCTTCGCGATGCGTGGGATGACCAGCGGTAGTTGCCAGAGAAAAAGTTTGTAATATGGATTTCTGATGACTCTTGATATTGAGTTGACCTGAACAGAACTTGTGGTCTGACACGAACTGGAATACATGACTTGTATCTGGTGGCACGCAGAGGAGAAATTTGTGCACTTTGACTGCAATTTCTCAACTAAGACTTGGAAATCCGTTCTTCAAAGACAGAGTTCATGCTACCTGAGGATTTCAGGAAGTGTTGGTGGAGGTAGAGTAGAGAGTATTTTTATCTACATTAACCTCGCTAGGGGATCAGAGTTATGATATCCGCAAGGCCTTCGTGCGCCAGCTTTCATGGAATATATAAATCTCAGTGTCCTGAGAATTCAATAAGATTGCATTGATTGATTGAATGGCAGTAGAATATGAATACGGATATAAATATTATAGGTCACGGGTGAAGTGCGGTTAGATGGTCATGTGATCGGCTGGCTCGCATCCCCAAATATCCGAGCGTCGTCTGGTGCTCGGGCGTTGCTGGTAGCGACGACAAGCCTTCACTCCTCCCCATCGCAAACTCAATATCCGCATCCGCCCTTGCCTTGAGCAATAGCAGGAGCTCCACGATCGCTACTTCCTCACGACCGACACTCGCCATTGCTATTGCTATTGGAATAATCTACCACATCGTTTCATAATCCATTATCTTGCCATCTTCTCCAGAGGCCGCGCCCGCAGCAGCAAGAGGGTGCTTTCGCTCATCCCCCAACCCAGCAAAACATCCATACAAATAGTAATATCAAGACTGGAGGGGCAGGCAGAGCTGAAGACATATCTACGGGAAGGATAGCATCGGATAGGCAAGATGGGTTTCGGGGACTTTGATTCAATATGTCGAAAGGCACAAATACCATTATGTGCCGTCGTCGGCCATTACTCGACAGTCACGGATTCTTATGGGATCGAGGCCGATTGTTTTGCGCGTAATATTGAGTTGGCAAACACCATTATCTTCCAAGGTGCTGCATCGTTTATGCATATTGTCGCCCTCATCATGACCGTCATTATGATCCTGCACGTCCGGAGTAAATTTACTGCTGTTGGTATGTTCCCAGAGCCATGTTGATATCGATGTCGAGGTATTTATACTGACATGCACCATCGTAGGCCGCAAGGAAATCATCGCTTTCTTCTACCTCTACATGTCCCTGACCTTTATCTCCCTCATTCTCGATTCTGGTGTCGTCCCCAGTGGCAATGAAGCTCATCCATACTTTGTTGCAGTGCAAAACGGGCTTACATCAGCACTATGTGTCTGTTTGCTCATCAATGGCTTCGTCGGTTTCCAATTATACGAGGATGGTACTACACTATCGGTCTGGATGATGCGCACCATAAGTTTCGCCTTCTTCATCATCAGTTTTATGTTTAGTCTCGCGACTTTCAAAAGTTGGGCTGGTCTTGGTCCTACGACAACGATTGGCCTTTTTGTGGCCGTGTATTTGGTTAATGCCATCGCACTGGCCGTATATATTATTATGCAAATCATCCTCGTGGTCAATACCTTGGAAGATAGATGGCCATTGGGAGATATTACTTTCGGGGTATTCTTTTTGATCATGGGGCAGGTCATCTTGTACGTTTTTGGTGAGGATATCTGCAACGCGGTTGCACATTATCTTGATGGGCTATTCTTTGCTACCATTTGCAATTTGCTCGCAGTCATGATGGTTTACAAGGTTTGTTTACCCTTTTTGATTTCTCAGATTAATATCTGGAAACATATGATACTAACTTACATTACAGTACTGGGACTCCATCACCCGCGAAGACCTTGAGTTCTCCGTTGGAACGAAGCAAAACAATTGGGAGGTCAAGGAACCATTAATGGAAGACGATCGACGAAACACCATCTACCAAGATCAAGATTCCAGTGCCATGTACAACGTTCAACAATCACATGGAAACAGAAACTCCAACTACGGGGGGTTTGCGTACTGAAACTTTTTTTCTTTTGGCAAAAATCAAAACTCGACACCGACAGGACAGGACAGGACAGGACACTTCAACGGTTTGGAAAAACCATAAACGGGGATCGAAATGTTTGAACAAAGAAAGCATCGCGCTGGGGGATATGCATGAGGCGTAATTGAAAGCTTGGATATCGAAATTTGTAATTTGACGATTCTTGGCTGTACAGAACACAGGCATTTGCTTTTTTGTTTTTTTGGTCGCTCCTTTACAGTGGAACTGGATGGAATAGGACTGGCGGCGTACTTTGGATTTTCCCGGAAGAAAGAGCGGCTTGGTCAATGGGTGCCTGTCTTAGATTATAGGTGCCATTGCTTCTGGCTTTGTAGATAGTAAGCCCTGCGGGCGAGAAATATAATATTTGGTTTTTTATGAATATGATCTCCCACCCCTTCCCCTCACCTCCTCAAGCAACTGAGCCAACCAGTTCAAAAAAAAGTGGGGGGGAGGGAGGCGAGGGGTTAGTGAAACGATATATGTTACAGTTCCTTTCATATCTTATATATATGTGTGTATAGCTGTGATGTATGTTTTAGTTTCTGGTTGTTGTTTCTTGTTATGTGTACCACTGGGGGCTTAAGAACGACTTTTGAATTCTATACATTGCGGATGTTGGGTTTCATCATTAAGGAGGTTGGTGGGGGGGGGGGAAGAGAATGAATGTATATACATCCATTTGGGAACAGCCTTCTCTCACCCACGAGTGCCACTTGAAGATTATCTGAAAGAGGACATGTTTCTCATCTATACCATTCTATCGTATGAACAAATCTTGGAGAAAGGAGGGTTCGGGATTCGTAAACCCCATTCCAGCTCCCTTCCAAGCGCCAATCACTTCTCTCTTCTCTATCCCAACTAAAGTCATTACAGTACTTCCCCGAAATCATCCTGTGGAGGACTTCCAAAAAATAAAACAATATCCAATGACATCAAATACATCTACAACAAAGCCCTCCCCTCCACATTCCCCCTCCACCCCGCACTCTCCGCAATCAACTCCGCGGCCCTCTCCCCAATGGCCAGAACCGTCAACATGGGGTTGATACTCGTCATCGTTGGGAACACGCCCGCATCCGCAATCCTCACACCACTGAGACCGCGGATATTCAGCTTCGCATCCACCACCGCCATCTCATCCGAATCCGCACCCATCTTCGTCGTCCCGGCGGGATGGTACACGGTATGGGCTACGGATCGCGCATACGCGGAGAGTTCCTCGTCGGTTTGTATCTTGGGCCCAGGTGCGACTTCGCGCTTCAGCCATTGCGAGAAGGGGGCTTCTTGGGCGATTTTGCGGGCTGCTTTCATGCCTGCTACGAGGGTGGCGGCGTCGTAGCCTTCGGGGTCGGTGAAGTAGCGGAAGTCCAGGGCTGGCTTGACGGCGGGGTCGGGGGAGGTGAGGTAGATTCTTCCTCTGCTTCGGGGACGGGGGATGTTGGGGGTCATGCAGAAGGCGTTGAGGGGGACGTCGTAGCCCAGACGGGCGGTGTTGAGACAGAAGGGGATTTGGTAGCAGTGCATCATGATGTCTGCTATCCTTCCGTCGGGGAGATGAGCGGGATTGATTACGGGATCGGTGTTGGTGACTGCTGCGTTGGGTGCTTCGCGGCGGAGGAAGATTCCTGCGTCGGAGTCCATGGTGGTTTGTGGTGGGACGGGGGCGTTGAGTTCCCACATGATGATGGATTCTGGGTGATCGATGAGGTTCTCTCCAACTCCTGGGAGATGGTGGAGGGATTTGAGACCGAGTGAGGTGAGTTGTTCTCTGGGACCAATTCCAGAGTGGAGAAGGAGACGGGGAGTGTCAACTGCGCCCGCGCAGATGATGGTTTCTGCTTTGGGGGAAATCGTGAGTCTACTACCAGATTTCAGAGCGAGGTTGACTCCTGTAACTTTCTTTCCAGAAAGATTGATTTTGGAGACCCAGGCCCCGGTGAGAATGGTGAGATTCGGTCTGTTCTCAGCACCACGGAGGATAGGGTGGATATAAGCTACTGATGCGGAACTTCGTCGTCCATCATCTGGGTTGTAGGATACGGAGAAGAAGCCTACACCTTCTTCTAGAGCTCCCTTTTCACGGATCTCTAGGTTGAAGTCGGGAATGATGGGAATTTTCATAGCGGTGCTAGAGGCTTTGATCCAATCTTTACAGATTTGGTTTCGATGTCGGTGGTGGACTGGTTGAATTTGGTTCCGTAGGTTATCGATGAGTCGGGTCATGGTCTTAAAGGACCAACCTCTGCACCCCAAAGATTCCCATACCTGGCAATCGTATTCGAAAGGCCGGAAAGAGATCAGGGTGTTGTGAGAGGAACAACCTCCTAAGACTTTGGCGCGAGAATGTCTAATATGCGAGTTTCCTGGAGATGAGTTAGTTTTGAGATACTCGGATCATGAGATTGCGGATTGTAAATTAGTTACCATTGGGCTGTTCTGTAGTTCCATAGTCATAGTCGAGCTCACCCCCCAGCAGTGATAACCATTCTTTTAGCTTGAGCACGCGGTCGTCGTTGAAGTCGCTTGGGCCTGCTTCGATCATAAGAATCTTCTTGTGAGGAAGGTATTCCGAAAGCCGACTGGCGATTACACATCCTGCTGTACCGCCACCCACGACGACATAGTCAAAGTCATTGACTTGAGAAGAGGAAAGAAACTCGGTGGTCATCTTTGGTGTGAGGTTTGCAATTGGATGAACAATTGACTTTTTTTGTGTGGACAAAAGAAGCAGCTTAGAGAGCTCTGGACTAGTGCTATTTGGGTCTTGCAATTCCTCCACGTGGGAGATGTTACTTGATAAGATGCTCACACCACAAAGCAATGTTTTTGTCAAGTTCAACCAGCTTGTGTTGACTGCTATCGTTTGATATAAGATGGAACGATAGCGATAAGAAGTCTTCTCTGAAGATGAGGGTGGGTGAGCTGACCCGTATTGGTAACAATGTGGAGTTGGTTGGGTGGGTATATGAAGACTGGGCGCCACTAAGGTTCGTAGGGGGGGAGCTTTAGCCTGGATAGGTTTAGAGGGAAGCCGTTGGAAGGTGAATTGCAAGGTCAGATGAACGGGGCGGAGAAAAAACGGTCGTTTAGGAGAGAGCTAATCAATACTTGGTGCGACACTTAGATAGGCTGACAGATGTGATAGAATAACTGAGGTTGTCCGGACACAAAGAGAGAAAGAACTTGTTGGCTACCTAGTAATTGCTTATTGATATCCGGGGCACCAAGCTTCCCGGTCCCAGTCCCGATCCCTATTCGCGGAATCCTGGGGTACTTGGGTACTTTTGCCCTGCTGTACGGAGTAGTCGTATTTTTAGAAGATACGCCGATTTTAGACACTTTAGTCTGAACTTCAAACCTCCCTCTTCATTGATCCAGCATCTCCCGTGAAGCTCCAAAACTAATAAATGTAAAACCAACCGATTGAGTTCTGTAAAGATTTCCGTACCTGGACGCCGCAATATTAGCAGGCCAAATGACGCCATATCTACTCGGTACCTACTTCAGAGAGAGAGAATATTTTCACTTGAAAACCTTAGCCTTCCAACCCACGCTATTCGAGTACGCTGCAAAGAAGCGGTTTATTCAGGGGTTCATAGGCGTCGCTTCGCTTGCCTGTGGCCACATGAGGCTGGGTGGGGTTGGACTTTTTGGTTGGATGCAATCCAGACAGTTCAGTGGTCAATCGAGCTTCTGATGACCCTGTACGGAGTACCTGTAGATGCGCCTGGAAGACCCCCTCCCCCCACCAGAAAATCCTTCGCTTGACAATGTCGCTTCCTGCGTACAGGGGGAATACGGATCGAGTGGACAATTGGAAAGGGCCCATGAGTACGGGTAAGAGAAACAGAAGTAACTTCTCACAAACCCCAGTTTCATGACGTCGTAAGCTATACCAAGCTCCAGTATCAAGCTCCATAATCCATTTCCTGCGGATTGTTAGACCTGGAATTAGACAAAACTTAATCTCCAACAACGGCGCGCCACCACTCACCACCATTACCACCACCACAACACTAGCCTCGGTAACGCTCGCATATCGGCTCAACTCTCGCTCCGATGAACTGCCTTGGCTAGAAATGGTCATCCCATCCATTCCTTGAAGTCCTACTCAATCATCCTGACACAAGTTGAACCGAACTATCAAGGCTACTCACCGCATTTCACGATTCCACACTTCAGCCACAACGAGTTCCACATTCCACATCTCACATTCCGTATGCCGTCCAGCTCATCGTCGTAACGTCGGACAAGACCGAGTGAAAGTCGGTAGAATTCCGTCTCTTATCCATCACCATCCTTGGGAATCACTTGGCTGCTTTCTGCAACTTTTGTGGATGGTATGATGTTGGGAGGCAGGACCAGGGTCACTGCCAAAGCCATTGCGAGATTCCGATTCCGGCAAGTGGAGAAACGTATGCGTTTCGTTTCATCCCAAGTTACAACGGCCTTGATGTGATAGATGCGGCATTCTACGAAGAACTTTGCTTTGGCTTACAGTACCCTAACAAGGAAATTATAGGCATCCATATGCAAGGACTCTTGCGATCAGATCATTCTCCTCAACCACCAACAACACCCAAACTACCATGACCCAATACGCCCCCCAACAGCTCTACTACAACGGCCAAGCCCAGAAAGCCACATCCGGGAAGACCTTTTCTAGTATCGACCCCTCCACCGCAAAACCACTAGCAGAAATCCAGACCGCTTCGGAAGCCGATATCGATTCTGCGATAGCTTCAGCAAAAGCTGCTTTCCCCTCGTGGTCACAAACTCCTCCTCTTGTACGATCGCGAATCCTTCTCAAGGCTGTGTCCATTCTGCGCGAACGAAATGATGAGATATCAAAAGTAGAGACGCACGACACTGGCAAACCATTTTCAGAGACTAGCACTGTAGATGTTGTCACTGGCGCAGATGTTCTCGAATATTTTGCCAACTTGGTGGCCAGTGGAGGTCTGAATGGAGAGACAACTCAATTGCGCCCAGATGCGTGGTTATACACAAAGAAAGAAGCTTTAGGAGTTTGCGTGGGAATTGGAGCTTGGAATTACCCAATTCAAATTGCCTTGTGGAAATCTGCGCCATGTTTGGCTGCTGGCAACTGCATGATCTACAAACCATCTGAAGTAACTCCTCTACATGGGCAAATTCTGGCGCAGTTGTATTCCGAAGCTGGTGTCCCACCAGGAGTTTTCAATGTTGTTCATGGAGATGGAGCAGTTGGAGGATATCTTACCAAGCACCCAGAAATTGCCAAAGTAAGCTTCACAGGCCAAGTGTCTACGGGGCAAAAGGTGGCAGCATCCGCAGCTGGAGGGATGAAATATGTGACCATGGAATTAGGAGGCAAGAGTCCTCTCATCATCCTTCCCGATACCGAGCTGGAAAATGCCGTAGGCGGAGCGATGATGGCGAATTTCTTCTCCACTGGACAGGTCTGCACAAATGGAACTCGAGTCTTTGTTCCTACGTCGATGAAAGCTGCATTTGAGAAGAGATTGGTAGAGAAGATGGACTGCATTCGGTCCTTGGAACCAATGGACCCAAACAGCAATTTTGGGCCTTTGGTCTCGGAAATACATTATAAGAAAGTCCTTAACTACATGCGACATGGCGTGGAGACAGACAAGGCAAAGTTATTGTATGGTGGTCCCACGAAACCTTCTCGTATACCGAAAGGCTATAAAAATGGATTCTGGGTGCAACCAACAGTCTTTACAGACTGTACGGATTCGATGAAAATCACCACCGAAGAGATCTTCGGTCCGGTCCTTTGCATCCTGCCCTATAACACCATTCCTGAGGCCATCTCTCGAGCGAATAACACCAAGATGGGACTCGCAGCTGGTGTGTTCGGAAAGGATATCAATCAATGCCATGAAGTTATTGGCAAGTTGGAGGCTGGTATTACTTGGATCAACACGTGGGGTGAGTCCCCGGCAGAAATGAGCGTGGGTGGGTGGAAGATGAGTGGCGTGGGGGTGGAGAATGGAAGAAGGGGGTTGGGGGCTTGGGTCAGGGAAAAGAGTACGTTGGTTGAGGGTGGTGGGGTTGTGGGGACTGTGTTTTCGAAGTTGTAAGGTACTCGTAGGTAGGATGTGTATATGTAGGTAACGAAATTTGAATGAAGTTTTCTGTTACGTTCCTTCGTTTGTATCTTTTCCCTTGTTGAGATTACAACCCTTCTTTCCATCAATTCACGAGGATCTCTCTCCTGACTTTTCCCGTTGCAACACTCAATTGGAACTGGAGTGGTTGAGCAAAAAGTTGATCACGTACCAATAGACGAGAGAAACTTCGAGCGTTGAAAAGTGGCATTGTAGATTGTACCTACGTAGTCACGATGTATTCTTTTTCTTTCTTCCAATAGGTCCGCATGACTACAAGCACAAGGTTACGACGGGACACATAGGGAGACAGACCATCCTCGAGAAGATTCTTTACCCCAATACCCGCGAGGAAAAAGAAGGAAAGATTGATGCCTCAACCTTTAAAAGAATGACAGGCCCGAGGAGAAGTCAGCAAGACAAAGTTAAGGAGTTCAAGGACAAATGATGGGCTTTCCACTTGTGCTTGGTAAGAAGATATTTTCCATTCATGTGGTGGGTCTAAAGAGTTGGTAGATGTTAGGCGTGTCTGTGTAGGGTCTGCTTGAGAGACATACTGGAGAAATTTGGATATACGTATCTTGAAGACTTCTCGACGATGAGTGGGATTTCGAGTGTAGATGTTGAATGTCGATCTTGCACATTGGATTCTCGTGTGTGAGCAAGTGGCTCTCTCGGGTTGCTAGAATGAATCTGGGCTTGTGGGTTCCAATTGTGACTAAGTCATAGCATGTACCGTGCTTCACTCATGCGTAGATATTCTATTGTCCCATGTAAGAAATTCGTAAGGTCTCTTGGGACTATTCTGCGTGGTACTGCGGTTATACTTATACTTGCACTGGTCAGTGACAGTCATATCAGATATCTGTCCAGCACAGAGTTGAACTTCCACCACACTAATCTTCTCGGGCGGGTTCTTCCTAGCTATGAAATGATGTATGTCCTATCTAAAGAAGTCTTTGAATATTGTGTCTCAGGTGGAGTCTGCTTGATAATTGCTAGTCGTTTAACAGTAAATTCTCGAGGGCTTGGGTGGGATTCAATTATTCTACCTTATTACAATTTTCGAGACTACACGAGTGTGACTATAGACTAGATGGTCCTGTTCAAGCTAGTATGCATTGCGGCAAAGGTGAACGTTTTGCTCACCTGGCTTCCGACAAGATCAATTTCGTCTGACGAACTTTGATGGCCAGTTTTAATATGGAGAAATCTTTTAATATCCTTTCCTTTCTAGCGTTTCTTCAGCGATATTGATTCCCATACGAACGGAAGTCTGGATCTCTCGTCACGCCGGTGTTTTTGATTGTATATTAGTAGGTAAGGTATAAATCATATATAAGTTATCTTTCTTAGTGCGACGTCTTGGTAGGAAGAATTTATTTCTCTACTCGTAAATTACATTATTTTCTAAAGAGCTCCGTAGTAAGAGACTAGCAGATATTCGTTTAGATAAAGAGATATATTAGTAGAAGGAACGAGCTTGTAATCCTTTAGAAGTTAAAAGCATTCTGTGAACCCGTTTCAACTATACTAAATACAACTCCCGGGATTTACGTTCTAGGATTTAATCTTTATAGACTTCTAGTTTAATAGACTCGGGATGTACGGCATCCTGAATGTACTAAAAGGCCAAATAGACTTAATACTAAGCCGCAAATCGTAAGTCGCAAAAGTCATATATTTACTACTACTGTGTCACGAATCACGTGCTCGGCATGTAAATAAGTGAAGACCAGGCGGCGACCTGACAGGTTAAGCACTATCGAAAGCTCTTATAGCAAAATAGGGACGCTTAGGCTAGCTAAGCGATCCAGGGATTTCCTTTGGTTAGCATCACGTGACTCGCTTGGATCATGGAGGATCATATGAGCCAGTGTGAGCCGGATCAGATGGATCGTGGTGATCCATATGATCCATAGAGAACGAAGGTTCTATACAAGACTGGCACGTCTGCCATTAGATAGGAGCTTCGTGCTCAACTTAGTTATCAATCTTATCATATTAGTTTGACATCTTTGATACAAGTAACGAGTTCACTTCCAAGTGAACAACCCGATAGTCTTCTTCTTATCATAGCGTACCAACCAGCGAACACCCAGCCAAGTTTAGTTAGCCAGTTTGAGTATTCGTTACATACTGTGCCAGAGTGCCTATACCCCCACGTACCTACTTAGAGGGGGGGGCTGGTTATGTAAACTTGCTACTCACTGTCGCCGCATCCTTACTATCGCATCCTCGCTGTCGCAAGGTACCTAAAACGGCTAAGCTAGCACGTGTTACGCTAACAATTGTTTGCTACCTACCTTTCCTCGCTCTCCCTCCCGCTTTTCTCTTCTCTTTTTTTCACGACAACGACGGCGAGAATACAATAGTAAGAGCGTAGCGATAGTCAAGATGTAAGGGCGCGATAGTAAGCGATAGTAGGATATAGCGATAGTAGGTAGCGAGTTTATATAATTACATCTCAAGTACGTTGGGGTTTAGGGGTATAGGCATTCCAGCGCTGTTATATAACCCTAACCCTAAGCCCGTTTGCGATTTGCAAATTGCGATTTCGTAATAAATAGGATTAAAATTAGAGATTTGCGATTTGCGAATTAGTATTAAGTCCATTCGACCTTTTAGTACATTCAGGACGCCGTAGGATGCCGTAGGATGCCGTGTATATATCCTTGAACAACAGCTTACTCAAGCATTTTATAAAAGCCCGATGTTCTATAACGCTCTATTTGACAGAATTTTCAAGGATTACCTGCAAAAACTAAATGTCCCTCTGAGTTTTAGACTTCTAATCTCTCCAAATGACAAAACAACCACATCTCACGGCTCATTTTTGTGATCGACGTAGCCAAGGATCATGTAATAACTCCCTTGCAGTCTTCCTCTTCTCTGGTTCCCATTGTAACATCGACTTAACGAAGTTGAGAAACATCTCTTTATCCTTCCCATCAAGATTCTCTTCCACAGCCTCAAGACTACTGCTCGCCAGTAGCGGTAAGCGGTCTGGCTGGTTCTCATCTGGTTCAAGCCATTTACCATTCTCATCGAACCACTCCGCCGATCTCCTACCTCGTTTGATAAGCTCCAATGGGGGCGGCCCAATAATGGAAATCAATTCTCTTAGATGGGCACGAGTCATGTAGCGCCCTTTTTTGGGATCCTGTCCACTGACGAGGTGTTTGCCTTCAAATATATCCCAGATCTACTGCCAGGTCAGTGAATGGAATGAAAGCATCAAAATATGTTTTGAGCAGGAAAGGTTACTCACCATGGCACCGACATTCCAAATATCAGCGCTGTAACTCCAAGGGAAACCAAACATCACTTCTGGGCACCTGTAAACATCCGGATAAGCATCATAGTTGTTGACTTTCGTCCCGTCGGCTGCGTTTCCGAAGTCGCAAAGGACTGGTTCACCTATAGACTTTGGCATGTCTAGCATTCGGGAAATATATATCTCTCGATCTGCAGCATTCTTTCGGGGTGATGGTTGAGAAAACTCGGCTTCCTCAAAGGCTCCAAGGATGGAGGTATCTTCGATGAGATGCAAGATGTTGTCGGATTTGATATCTGAAACAAGAAAATTAGGAGACGTTACGGAATGAAAGCGAGTCATGATAACAACCTGTGTGAATCAACTTCCGATCCATGTGAAGAAAATCTAATGCCAGAAATAAACGCTGGAGGTTGATTCGAAGGAGTTCTTCTGTGAGTCTGTCTCGACCACTCCGTTCGAGAATTGTCCTGAGGCTATCCCATAGTGGCTCATGCACAAGACATGGGTGTTTCAACCCACGGCTCACCAACTCGAAGGAATCCATCGCTGTACGAATGTAGCGGTAGCCGAGACTTGATGTATTTCCTCGGCTAAGGTGTTTATAAATGGCAATTTCGTCAGTATCCTTGCTGTCATTAGTAAATATTTTGACGGCTACGTGACGGTGGGCTCTGTTTTGCTTAGCTTCCATCTTCTTATGCCCGTGAATGGCATCACTGACTGTAGGTCCCTGGCAAGCCACACCGTTGACGAATTTCCAAACCCTAGCTTTCCAACGACTTGGTACCTAGAGGAAAGAACTTCCCCGATACGGGTTGGATAGTATCGTTCGATTCCAAAGTTTTCTTCTTCGACCTTTTCGGATGTGCTGATCAGGGGAAACTTCACGATTGGGTAGACCCGTGGTGGTGAGGGTGCCCGTTTGACTGCACCTCTAGCCCACTTCAGAAGTCCAGCCATGAGTATGGTATATTTGATGATTTGGCAAATGATTTGGTGAAAGTTTGATGGTTTAACAAAAGCAACTGTGCGATGGATTGATTGCAACCTTGGAACAGCATGAGAAGCTGGGTCACGTGTGGCCCACTTCTTTGGCAGTTAGCCCAAGCGTATGTACGACTTTGGGTCTTTGAGGGGAAAAAGAGCAGTATGGGTAATTCAACAGCCCCGAGGATTAGTAAGTACCTACCTGCTACCTAACTGGCTAGCTAGGTACGGTACCTTTTCAGTGGAGCTTGTATCTTAAGCCCTTCTTCTTCAGACTCAGCTAAGTGGCATTCCAGTCGCACGCCTATTTTCTTTCTTTCTTCAGTTCCACCTCTAGCAGGGTCAGCGGTTAGGTCATATCTATCTGATGAAACCCAAGACGTCGTTAAATCGTCGGAATATTGTTGTTCCTTCAATTATCCAATCAAAAGGGTATTTGAGGATTTGGTGCATTTGAGGTAGCAACAAGTCTGATCCACACATCATATCTTCTCAACATCCACTACTAGGACCAGACATCAATGAAGGTATACAATGTTAGAGGCCCATAATAAAATCACGATTCGCTTGTGCGTGTGCGGGGCACAAAACCACCGAAACACCAACATTGAAGATACTCTCTAGTCCCAGTCAGGTCCTCCAAATAACGCCTCATACCCTGTAACCTTGTTTGTTAGCCAACATGGGCTGTCTTGGAGAATTGCGTATAAAGCCCAGAGATTATCTCAAATTTTCTTCTTCTGATTCATCTCGATAAAATCTGCTCCAGTATCAGTCCATTCTTCAATAACCTTATTCCTCAAATCAGAATCTGACAGCATCATTCAATACTCCGGTTCTGCATATCATACATTTTCCTGGTTTGCTTGACACTTCACAATTACTCCCCAGTTCTTTATAAGCTCCCTCAATCGCTATCAAAAAGATATCACCATGCGTCCATTCAGCACTTCAGCGAGAGCTCTTTTCAAGAGGCTCGGCTTCCCAGTGGAGTCGATCCCGGATACCCATAGATCAGGATATGAGAAGTTCTTCTCACCAGATGGCGGTGCTGAACAGGTACATCTCTCTCTCTAACCCTCCCAACAAGGAATGATAGCTGCCAACACATTTTCTTCAGAAATTTGGGAAGACCAAATCCGCACTATTGAAGCCTCGTGGTGGGAATCCGGTACATCAATCTTCATTCAATAAGGCAGATAAAGCTTTGATTATTAGCGTTGTCGTTGAAGGAGAGAGAGGTAAAGCGACTTGTCATATCTACGAAGATGGAACTGGAACCAGAAAGAAGGGTGATGAACGGCAATGAGCTTTCAATCTCTGTTCTTGCTGTAGAATATAAATTCAGAAGAGCGTGATGGGTAGCATACGACCATTGGAAGCTGTGTTTGTAATAGTTTGGTTAAAGGCTATTAATAGCAAATTATTATGGAAGCAACTCTATTAACTGATATCGACGTTGGGATACTGTGTCTTTTTCCCCAAGCGTCACTCGACGTATTTGAATGATGCTTATAAGATATGGAAGTTAAGTTAATATGATCATTCAGCAGGAGGTCACCGTATTAATTGATATATAAGATAGCATATGATATTCAAAGGGTTTGTCACTGCATCATTCCCTACACTATTGATTTCAGTGGTCCATCTCTCTCATTTAACTGCACGCAAGATATTTTGTAGCGCTTCAATCGTTTCATGGCCGCCCCTAGAAGACATTATTTTATTCCCCAAAAGTATGCTAGAGACATGTTTTGTACCTCCATTAACCTAGATAGTCGCCGGGCCGACTGATTTTCTATTCATCTACATAAATGCGTTCAATTTCCCATTCCAGTAGCACTTCAAAAACTCAAGGATATGCTACAAGAGAAATATTTTCCCCTCCATTAATCTCAATAGTCGTGGAATTGTATACCCCTTTCAGTCCATCTATCTCAATCCAAGCTGGCACAAAAGGCAGTTGCAAAGACCCAATCTTCCCCACAGGACAACTAATACCCATCATTAATACCCTATTCGAAAAGTCCTAATCGGCTTTAATCCTAACATAAGGCGTTAGAACAAATCTCTCGACATAATCTAACTCCAATCTATAAACAAGAGGCTTGAACTGCTACTTCTTATACCCCGGTTCCAATGATGAAACATCAAGAACGTATTCTGGTAGGATATAAGTCGGCGCACTACCCCAAGGATAAGCAAGTGAAGTAAATAAGCCGATCCCAGGGGATCCATCAGGGAATAGATATTCCCAAGATGCGCCGGTGAAGTACTGGTTCTGGGTAACCATTCGAGACCAGAATTTCGAGCAGGTCTTTGGCGACGTCCAAGGTTTGGAAGCCTGGGGTTGTGTTGGCTTTGAAGAGAGCTTCGAGAACAAATCCGTAGGACCATGTTTACGTATCTTCAGTACTGGAGCAACCACCACCAAGAGGACATTCGATTCCCCATGGTGCAAAACCCTGTACAGTAATTCCTCAGCATTACCTTACCCCAACTTCTCCAAATCGCCTTCTTGGATTCCCTGCCTTCGAGGGGCGAAGATCTCGGAAACAAGAGGTTGGGGGCCTGATAAACAGAAGTGGACGGTTCTCGCAAGGGTTAAAAGTACGTCAGCTCTATCTTTATAGAATCGATGGTGGAGGCAATCAAGCTTATTTGTGTCCTGCTAGGTGGCGGTCTAGATAGATTTCATATCATATTGTTATCCTGTTTTTTTACCACATTCTATGACCCATTTCTGATTCCACACTTGACAAATCAAAAGCACATGTATGGATAATATAACAGCTAGACTAATAAATTATGAACAACATAAATCTGTTCGCAGTTCTATGGTTCGGCCATTATGACAGTCTGCACAAATCGTCATTCGTGTGGTTACCATAGCACATATATGCCAGAAATTCGCCAAGGCGATCCGAGTTGTCGCAAAGGGTAAGATTTACAGTAGTGGCTTGAACGGTTCAAACATGGCTTCATCTTCATGCAACTCACCATGAAACAAATAGCAAGTCAGGCGAATGATTTTATTTTCCTACACCAAGTACAATAATTCAGAATTTGACAGGAAAGGGCTAAGCACACTTCGTTCAACGAAGGGAACGAGTTGACTTATGCGTGCTCTGAGTAAAATCTCCATACCACCCCCAGATTGCTTACTTGAAAATCTTATCTTACATCTTTGAAGATGGGAATACACTGCCACGAATCAATGAGATAATTATGAGCCTTGATGGCAACAATAACTATAGCCTGATGGCTTGACGGCTTGATCAATTGCTTTATTGTGGATCGGTCTTGATTCGTTTATTTCTGTGAGTCATTGACATATCTGCAAGAAGGGCTCTTGCTGGTTCCAAAGCATTCGACTCCTCGGCTTTTCGACGGAGTGGCATTTGAGTCTGCAGAGTCGATTGTCATGGGCTTGCCGCCGGCGTAGGCTCATTTGGTACTTGACTTGTGTATGTTGTGACTTGGAAAGCGGGATCTCGTTGATTAGAGAGCAAAGAATTGAGAACTTCTCGTGGAACCAAAACCCATTCTGCTTGCTGCACGGGTACATGTCTGTTATTTACTGGGGCATCAAAACTTGGATGTGTTAAGGACATTGTGTTTCGCAGATTCGAAGTTTGCCACGGAGAAGGACTTAGTCGACGCAAATCTTGGACTAGTTGGGTTGAGATACGAGCAAGCTCCTCAAAGGTTGGCTGTGGTGGAATGGTAGATGCACTGGGAGAGGATTGAGGTGGTTCTCTAGGATATGAATTGTGTTCAGCCGGCTGATGGAGTAAAGTAGCTGGTTGACTTTGTATGCCAGTTGTGGTCGATTGTAGGGGCTCTCTAGTACGCGAACTGTGTTCAGCAGATTGATGAAGTGCAGTAGCTGGTTGACTTTGAATACCCGGAGTAGATTGCGGAGACTTTCCAGGATGTGGATCTTGCCCAGCCGACTGAATAAGTACCGTAGCTGGTTGGCTTTGCATGTTAGTGATTGATTGTGGGACCTCTCTAGTACGTGAGTTATGTCCAGGCAACTGATGAAGTGCAGTAGCTGGTAGACTTTGTATGCCAATGGTCGATTGCAAAAGCTCTCTAGTACCCGAACTGTGTCCAGCAGATTGATGAAGTGAGCGAGCTGGTCGGTCCACTTTGCATATCGCGAATTGATTGCGGATACTCTATAGTACGCGAACTGTCTCCAGCAGATTGATGAAATGATTTTCCTGTGTGACGTTGAAGATCAGTCGTAGGTTGTGGAGCTTCTCTCTTAAGTGACTTGTGTTGATCGGTAGTGGTAGTCGATTGAGGAGGTTCTCTGGTAGGCGAATTATGTTGATCAGCAGTTGATTGGAGAGGTTCTCTAATCTGCGGCTTGTGTTGATCAATACTTGATCGCGAGGGCTCTCTAATACATGACTTGTGTTGATCAGTAGTTGATTGTGGAGGCTCTCTGGTACGTGAACTGTGTCCAGCAGACTCATGAGACGATGTAGCTAGTCGACTTTGAATATCAACAGAAGCCGATTGCGAAGACTGTCGAGTGTATAGATTGTCTCTAGCCAACTGGTTGCCCCAATTGAACGATATGGCTGGTCGACCTTGACTACCAGAATTAGATCGAGGAGGCAGAAGACTTTGATTGGCGGCAGGAAACATGCGTGGTCCGGTAGGGGGAGTTGGTGCAACTGTTCTACCCATAGATTCATGCTTGAGTAATCAGTATCGTGTTTTTAAACGCTCTGAACAGATAGATTACTTACTTGCTGACCAGGCCAAGCGGGGAAAGGGAAGAAGACCATGTTAGCAATTGGATCCTCCGCACGCCTGCGCTTCGACCAAGGCACGTAGTCTGCACAACTTGAATAAGCTCTGTCTTCTTCCATCACACTTTGTAAAGGACCAGCCAGCTTCTCTCTTTGAGTTGATTTGCTCGTACGTCTCCACTCGTTTTGCAGGGCTTCTCTTTCCCTTTTGATGGGACAACGCTTTGCCTCATCACGCTGGTTCGTCCAAGTCGCCAGATATTGGACTGTTGACATAGACTTAAAAAAAAGGTTAGCTCAAGTGGAAGATGTGCATAGAGTCAATTGGTCAACATACCGCAGGGGCACGAACTCGTTTGGCGTGGTCGTCAAGACTGACTTCTTTCACAAGGTGTCTCTGACCATTATACATGGCGTACCTAAAAGCTTCAAGTGATTCGGGGTCTCTGTTTGGAAAGTAAAAGAACTTTTTACCTTCGTTCAACTCGTACCGAATAGCTACTGCTGGAGAGCTCTTCATCTGGGAGCTGGAGGTTGAGTGAGACATGACAAAGACTCAACGCGCAGATTGCGCGTGTGTGCTTTGTATGTCTGGGGCGCGGATATGTGGAAGTGGAAAGAGAAGTTGGATGGGAGCTCAGATTAGAAAGGAGGGAGGGGTAGATGTGATGGTGGGGTGGTAGTTCCCGTCGGCAAGAGAACGGACCGACGCGACTAGGCAGAACAGGGAAAGTAAAGAAAAGGGAAGGAAAGAGCAACCGAATGTCTAATGAACCTTGCGTAAACAATCTCGTTTAGATACCTTTAGCAAACAACACAACAAAATTTAATCATAATGAATAACAATTAACTGAAGTTGCATTTCAACGTTGCTGATCTCATTCAAGCATTCCAAATCTGCTAGCGAAAAATTTCTCTCAGTTGGGAACTTGCAACCAATGAACCAAAGGGAGACTTCATTGGCAGACGTGTCCAGAGGTAGACAACGACAGGCCGGGCAAAGACTGACGCCATTCACTGAATAGCACTAGCCATTCCGTTAATTTCCGATCCTCTTCCTTGCAACTGTGCTTAAGTCAGTGTCTGCGACATCCATAACTAGTAACAATATCGAAAAGGAATTTGCGATCAAAGCAGACATATTTCTCCCTTACGTAAAATCCTCAGTAAAGCCCACAGCAAGAGAAGTCCCAACTCCTGAGCCAATTCTAGCCACTGCATCAGTAATGAGCATCAAGAGTACATGACAGAGGGTATCTACACTTTTGATTGAGGCCAGGCTAGGTGCGTTGCAGACGACAGGCCAAGGTTGGCAAGCTAGCTGAAGGAGCGTATGGTCTGGAAGCAATGCCTCGTTCGCCGGTTCTACACCCAACTTCAGATTTTTAGGAGTGTCGTTAGGTGCAAAAATATCGCTCACTTCCCGAAGTGAATGTGTCAACTCGCAGTCCTGGATACGCTTATACTCGGAACCATCGGAGAAGATCTAGTTTGAGAGGTCAAAAGGTGTTTGATACAAACCCCTTGAAGAAATTATCTATGTTAATAACCCTAATATCGACCGAGGGAGCATCCATCTATCGGTCTAATCGAAAAAAAGCTATCTGTCACCACTCACGAATCCCATTTGTTATTTCCAACCCCTATACTCCCCCATCCAATTCGCCCATCGCTAAACCCTCAAATCGTTGGCGCCCTCTTCAACCCCTTGCAATATCGTACATATAGCGTGTCCAAGAAATGAGCATGTTTAATGCCCTTAGGTCTCTTCTTCGCAAACTCAGCTATCGCTCCCTCAAGCGTGAACCCGCAGCGCTCCTTGAGATACGAAACCAAGAAGAATCCCGTCCGATTGAACCCATAATGGCAATGGACACCAATATAGACATCCTTCATTTCCCATCCCTCCTCTACAGCTCGAGTTTTCTGCTCTTCACGAACTTTGTTAATGAAAAGGATGAATTCGTCAACCTCCGCTTCGGTAGGTGGGATCTTCGAGACAGTAGGAAATTTGTGATAGCGAATCCCACCCTTCTCCAATCCTTTAGGATCATATACTGGCGCCTCATGAGAGATGTCGACGATATCTTTTATTTGACCACCCCAGTCTTTGACGAAAACCAGGGGTGAATGTGAGGGATCTACCTCACGTAAAGTCTTCATAGCACGAAAGACCGAGTTGATGGGTTCCGAAACTGGTTTGACAGCTTGCCACTTTGCTAAATTTTTGACATCCCATTTTCCTGACGAACTCAAATACGATAGTTGCCAGCCGAGATCTAGGCGAGGGGAGATATGCTTTGCGAGGAAATCCGAGATGAGTCCTGCGAGAATGCGAACTTCAGCGGATTGATAGAGCATCGCGTGTGAAGCGGGAGCCGGAAGAATCGAAGTTTTGAGTGTCTTCTTTGGTTTGGACTCTTGAGTTGGAATGGCTGTAAGTGTCTCATTGGGTGTTGAAGGGTCTTCGTGTGGATCTTCAAGTGTGAGATCTTCATGCTCCAGGAAATCTTGATCTCTAATAGCTGATGTGGTCCGCTTGTTAGTAGGCGGGACAGAAAACCTTTCGTCGCTGGTGACTTCAGAGTCAATTGGGGCAGCTGCATCCACCACAGTGGGTTCGCTTTCATCGCTTGGTCGTTCCTGGATATCTGTACCCTTGCTAAGAAATGATGAGATCTTTTCTATATTCTCTGGCTTGGTAACATGATCTGCTTCTCCAGCCACTAAAAACACTGGCATATTGATACCAGCCCAGATATTTCTGCCTGGTATACCGTCTTTTGCGATTCCATTCTGATACTTTGGCAAAGTCCCTGAAGCCATCCGTCTCCAAACTGGTGTTCTGCTCTGTTCGTTGAATCGGCATTGCAGTAACTTGGTCTGGTCATCTGCGTCAGAACCAACAAATCTTTGAACACTAGCACTGTCTTTGCCACCACGCCTATCCCAACGCCTCCATAAATCAAATACAGGCGAAGGGATTAAGAGCAGTTTGTTGAACAACGCAACCTCTTTTTCAGTAGGTGGTTCAGCTCGTGGACAAATTGCGACTAGGCCAATAATATGCTCGTAAACCAGATTGGGAGGCGTGGAGGTCTTTGAGGCAATCAACGCAGCAATAGAGCAACCCAACGAGTGTCCTATTAGCACCACTCCTTGCCCTGGAGCTCTGTGTTCAGCGATCGCAAGGCCAACAAGCTCTGCCAGATTCTCTATTTTATAAGCATCCCAACTTTTCTCATCAAATTCAGAAAGACCGCATCCTGGCAAATCAATTGCTAGACAAGATGCCAGGTTGACTAGACTTGTCAATAAGGGATTAAACTGAGCGACAGAGCCGCCAAGACCGTGGATGAATACAAGGAGTGGAAGTGGTGCTGGAGTGGTAGGCAACTTTTCATACTGAGGATGCTCCCGGAAGAATACACGAATATTCCTATATGTGTATTTGCTCGTGGTATAAGTTTGTAGCTTGGAGTGCTTCTTCAAGAGCTGTGGGTCGTTGGCTTCAGCCTCTAGTCGAAGTCCAAAGTTAGCTCGCGTTTCCAGTCATCACACAGAAACTTGCCAGTGTCCACGTTCCCACTTATGCACCGGCTTTTACTTGCTCCATATTTGATTTCCTCGGTCGACGTCAATGATGCGGAATTGCTCTCTCTCCACCTCCGTTGTGTCCACCAAACCAGCAGAGGTAAAGAGCCACAAAGAACCATTTCCCAGATATCGAGCTTTCCCTGAGATAACCGTGGGAGTATGCGGTGATATGCCGACACAACAGCTGTTAACTGCAGACTGATCTTGTTCGTGGTACTCGATATGCTATCTGGGAGGGCCGGAACCGTCGCGGCGAGTTGAAGGATAAGAAGACATGACCATGAGGGGGGAAATCCCATGGTCTCCAAGTAAAATGACGGAGCAGCCGAGAAGGAAACGCAAGCTTATGAATTGCAGTTTCGAAACCGGGCAGGGTTGAGAATGACCGAAGCGACCTGCTGAGCACGCAAATCGCACCCCACGGTGGTACAGCTAGATGGCGATATGGATGGGCAGATCACGGCGACGTGGCCCCGTTGGAAGCGTTCTGTGGTTTCCCCTGGCCTGGAGACGTTGAAGGCAGCTCGCATCGAAGGGTCGAAGGGTATGCAGGCGGGCTTGAGCAACTCGAGAGTTCGCAACGGGATGGTGACGGCGATGGTGACAGGAGAGTGTTGACCATAGATATCCGCCAAAGGCGCCTCGTGGGATGCGTCATAGGCAGAGGCCATGGGCGAGGGCAGGGTTGGCTTCTGGCTACAAAGCAAAGAAAAGGGAATACAGGAGGAGTGGAAAACGGAATGAACCCACGCTTCGGCTTCGCATTCTGGCAGCATGTTAACGTTGTCAGTCGCATGTTTGCTCCGGAGTTGCGGCTACACATCTGCCATCTCTCATACTCGTATATGAGTACTCGAGTAGATGCCCCTTGGAGCTGAGATGTTGAAGGGGAGAAGCTTTTCCACCGTCATCACCCACCTGCAGGCGTGGGCTGGCATAGCTTTTCCGATGCCCGCACCCGCATTCCCGTACTCGTACCCGCGGGGTATTGATTCTCCATCCACCTGCAATTCCGTCATTTGACGTAGCGTAATCTACGTGTAGCGTACCTATGTATCTCCGTACGAGTATAAGTAGGGTTACCCCCCACCAAAAAACCCGGTAGGTGTGAGGTGGGGTGGGATGGAATGGGATGGATGTGACACACAGGCAGAACGCCGATGAACACCGCACCGCCAACGGCTCTGACCAATTCCGTTCAGCATATCGCGATGCAATTAACCCGAGCTACCGACCCATGACGAGAGCTTCATCTTTTCAAGATGCTGTACTTTAGCTTTCAAGTGTTGCTAAGGTCCTACCATATTACTACCTATACTCTCTATAGTATACTGTGGTATACTGTGGTAGAGCATAATAGAACCGTGATATTCGAGTAGTATACCTAGTGGAACCGTAATGGACAATACTCCCCTTTTGAGCAAGTATATGAGGACCTACTCGAGGACCTACTCGAGGACCTACCTACTCGAGGACCCACCCAGGTAGAAAGCACCTACTGACAATGGCTATATCTGAACCTGCACATGCCAAAACAAAACTAAGCCTGGAAGTGCTTTCCTGTTTCAATTGCACGCACGCCATAGCACGAGACGTCGAGAACCCGCGCTACTGGACTCCTCGACCAATATTCCTGCCTTCATATAGCTAACTTTCCTCAAAGGTGGGACACGGCCACTACGGCGCCTAGGTAGTGAAGTCCGGAGCAGCGGGGTCGAAATCAATGGATTCAATGGAATGCGACGGGATGTTGGGGGGATCACTTTCTTCCTTCTTTCCATTGTTTGTAGCGGAATCAGACCTCTTCTCCAGCCATCGGGTCTATTCATCTGACTCTTCTCGCTCTTCCGTCTTTGGATCACCATAAACTTCTGCGCAAAGCAATATGGAGCCTTCACCCCAACAACACATCCCGGAACAGCCAAGGTATATCAGCTTCCCCAGTCTGGAACATGGTACCAAAGGCGAAGATGGCAAGCTCGCCTTAAATCGTTGGAGCTCTCTTGTGACGAGAGGTAAGCCTGGCAAGGGCGCTTCTTAGATAGTCAGTGCAAAACGATACAATACTCACATTCCCTCATAGGCCATGACTTTGCCGGTGCCCAGGCCATGCTCTACGCTGCTGGTGTGCCCGATAAAGAGTCCATGAAGTCAGCTCCACATGTTGGTATATCAACAGTATGGGTATGTAGCTATAGAGGATTGGTGGAATCACCCGTACTTTTCTCGGGCTGATATCAAGTCTTATACAGTGGGAAGGCAATCCTTGCAAGTAAGTCACAATGCCCCGAAATGGAATGCCACCAAACTGACATTTTGTAGTATGCATCGTACGTTCCATGCTGCTGGCATTATGTACTTTTCTAACTTACATAGTACATGACCTTGGAAAGATTGTCAAGCAAGCAGTACAGAAACAGGGGATGCTAGGTTGGCAGTTCAATACCGTTGGAGTCTCTGATGCGAGTCAGTTGAGTTTCTCAATAATTAGTAACACGCGGCTGATAATATCTAGTTACAATGGGAGGAGAAGGTTTGCTAGCCATCATCAATTCTAACCTGACAAGTACTAACTAAACGAGGCATGCGATTTTCTTTACAAACTAGAGAAATCATTGCCGATTCAATCGAAACTGTGTATGTATTTTCCAGCGTACAGTGACTACCATCAATGGCGAAATGCGGCTTCTCTGGCTCCTTGTTTTTGCTTAGCTCGACGTTTGGCTGATACTCGATCCAACCAGTACTTGTGCACAACGCCATGACGCAAATATCTCCATTCCAGGCTGTGACAAGAATATGCCGGGTGTCATTATGGCAGCCGCTCGACACAATCGACCTTTCATAATGATATATGGAGGTACCATTAAACGAGGTTACTCTAAGCTTCTAGGCAAAAGTGTCAATATCGGAACTTGCTATGAAGCTGCGGGCGCCTTTGCTTACAACACACTCCATCCAACTGAAGAAGCTGCAAAGAACGGTGCTACTCCTAGTGATGTAATGGAGGATCTAGAAAAGAATTCTTGTCCAGGTGCTGGAGCTGTAAGCTATTTTGAATACGTCTACCGCTGAGAGGCAGATATCCTAACGAGTCTTCTAGTGCGGCGGAATGTTCACGGCAAATACCATGTCTACAGCAATTGAGGCAATGGGTCTTTGTCTTCCGGGATCATCTTCTAATCCTGCAGAATCGCCTGCCAAGATGCGCGAATGCGCAAATGCTGCTGAGGCAATCAAAGTCTGTATGGAGAAGAATATTAGGCCAAGAGATCTCATGACCAAAGAATCGTTTGAGAATGCTTTGGTCTTAACGATGGTACTTGGAGGATCGACAAATGGAGTTCTCCACTTTTTAGCTATGGCAGGTACTGCTGAGGTACCCCTCACTCTAGACGATGTTCAGAAAGTGAGTGACAGAATACCATTTCTTGCAGATTTGGCACCTTCTGGCAAGTATCTCATGGAAGATCTATACGATATCGGTGGTACTCCATCAGTGTTGAAGTTTCTCGTTGCTGCTGGACTAATTAATGGCAAAATCCCTACCGTCACGGGTAAGACTTTGGGAGAAAACTTGGAACCATTTCCTTCCTTGCCACAAGATCAAACCATTATCCGACCACTTTCCAACCCGATCAAGAAGAGCGGACATCTCCAAGTTCTACGAGGCAATCTCAGTCCAGGTGGGGCTGTCGCAAAGATCACTGGCAAGGAAGGCTTAAGCTTCACTGGTAAAGCTCGTGTTTTCAACAAGGAACACGAATTGAACAGTGCTCTTGGAAGGGGAGAAATACCCCACGGAGAAAATCTAGTTCTCATTGTGAGATATGAGGGTCCCAAGGGCGGTCCCGGAATGCCAGAGCAGTTGACAGCTAGTGCTGCCATCATGGGCGCTGGATTGAAGAACGTGGCACTTGTCACTGATGGTCGATACTCTGGAGCAAGTCACGGATTCATTGTCGGCCATGTTGTGCCAGAAGCTGCTGGTAAGATATCTTCGTTGCTGGGTCATGAATGATGCTAACCGATATAGTTGGAGGACCGATTGCCGTGGTTCAAGATGGAGATATGGTCACCATCTCAGCTGAGACGAATTCTTTGAGCATGGATGTGAGTGATGAAGAAATCGCGGAGAGAATGAAATCTTGGAAGGCTCCAAAGAGTGCTGTGAACAGAGGAGTTTTGGCGAAATATGCAAGATTGGTGGGAGATGCTAGTCATGGTGCTATGACTGATCTCTTTTGAATGTGATTAGAGGTTATTTGTTTGTTAGATTCTTGTCTAGAGCTAGATATCTTCAAAGGGGAATATGAGTTGAATCAGATAAGAACGCTCTTCACGAACTTCGAAATACCTAGTTGAGTTATCGTTCGAAACAATTGTATAATTTGAAGGAATTACCTTGGTATTTTAATTCGATTGACTTTTGACTGAGGAATAAAGTACAAACTGCCCCACCTAAGCTCTTTCGTTTTATCACGTGCTGGTGACGTCCTCGATATCAAAGCTTCACCAGCTTCATCGTTACGAGTAGAGCTTCAAAAACACCACACCATCTCACACCAACTGCAACAACCCTCAACACCCAAACCGCTACTAAACGCCTTCCAAAATACCAATTGAACAAATCCAACCCTCAAAATGCCACCCCTCCGCCCACCCCTCGCACGCCCAACCATCTACGACCTAAAATCCTTCCTCTTCTCCCCACCATCAATATCTCAACGTCCTCTCACCACGCGCTGCCCATCCCATCCCCTCTCTCATCCTCTTTCTCGCCTCATACCTCATCGCCCTCGTCGTCATCAGTTCTCCACCAAACCTCCCTTCCTCACCCCCACCAACCGCACACCACCCTCCCACGACCGCGGCCCCGCCTCCAAAGAAACCACCCAAACCGACTTCGGGACCCTGAACATGCTGGGTGCCTCCCCGGTGCCGAGCACGAATATCGATGCCTGTGTCTGGGACGGCTTTCTGCTCGATAATGGGGTCAAGATCACGGATGGGAGGGGCGTGTTGCTGGTTAATGGGGAGGCGTTTGAGTGGTGTCCTTGGCTTGCTAAGGATGGGCTTGGGGAGGGGGGTAACAAGGGGGGGAGGCTGAGGTTGGTTAATGAGGGGGGGCAGTGGGAGTGTGGGGATGAGGGGTGGGGGTTGCTGGGGTTGGTTTGGCCGAAACCTGGTGAGTTGTTCTCTTTGGGGGATGGAGATTTTTGGATTTGTGGATTTAGAGGGGATTGGGATGAGTTCGTGGATGGGTGCTAATTTTGCTGTAATAGATCTGTTGATCCTGGGTCTGGGGAAGGAAATGCGTCCGCTTAGTCCGAGGGTGCGGCAGTATATCAATAGTCTCGGTATCCGCGTCGATGTCCAGGATACGAGGAACGCGGCGGCGCAGTTTAATCTGTTGGCGACGGAGAGGGGCGTGCAGAGTATTGCTGCGGCCTTGATACCTATTGGGTTTAGGGAGGGGAGGGGGTGTGTTTAGGGGGTTTGGAAGGAAGTTGGGAAGGGAGTGTTTGTATGATGATGGTGTGGGAGGGCTGAAATGGGGGTTTGTGAGGTGTTTTTTGTGTGAGAGTATACAAGTGATGAATTGGGGACTAGTGATACTATGAGCTTTGGTGCTTTGCTAGTAGTTCTGTGATATATTCCTCTTTCTTGTTCTTTCTTCTTTTCATTGTTCTTCCTTCCTTTAGCTTTATATGAAAGTCTCTGATGAAATCTTCATGTCTTGAAATTCAACGCCTCGCCCTCGAAAGAGGAGGAAAGGATTCAGAAATTGAAGGAGTAGGAACCCTCCCTCTACTTATACCTCGCATCTCAAAAAACCCAATCCTCCAACCAAAACTCAAGGAAACAATCCCATTTATTCTAAAAGACTTCTAGTGGTCTGTGGATAAGTAAACCATGTATCTCTATTCCTTTAAACCCCTTCCAAAAGAAAACGAAAAAAAGGTGCTTCACCCCTCTTGATCGCATTGTCAGACGTAAGATTGTCCTTTTACTCTAGTACATTCCCCCTTCCTCACCTCGGTTTCTCTTTACTGGCTACGGAAGCTTTTCTTTTTTTGGGTTCTATGAGTTGGGCATGGTAGGGGAATTTGAGACCGCTTTTTGGGGGGTGGGTCTGGGGGTGGAGGGGTGGTGGATGGTAGGTAGGTAGATATGTTTTTGTTGGGTGTTTCTTGTGGGGGAAGGGAAGGAGAGGAGGGGAGGGGAGGGGTTTAGGTGTGGTATTACTCTTTGTAAGTCTTTTTCCTTTCATTTCGTTTCTTTTCTATTACTGTGCATGTATTTTTGAGTGATTCCTTTTTAAGAAAATTCCTTCTAGGAAATAACTCATCATTATAGTGATTATAGATAAGGGGCAAGTGGTTTCCATAGCGAGGTGTTGAAAGTGAGGTAAGGTTGGTGCGAATAACATACTATAGTAAAAGCTAGGACTACCTATTAGATGAGGCGCAGGGGTCGATTTGCTATACTCACGTGGTTTGTATACCCGCTTCTGTACTTCTGCTTTCTTCTTTGTGGGTTTGGGAGTTGAGAATGATATTCACTAGGTTGTGCGTTTGGACTAAGTGAGGGTTTGTGTGTCTTTGGGATGTTTGTGATGTGTTATTCACAGACTATGGTATAGTGGTTTCGAAGAAGTTCTATTTATATCTATCTACCTTCTTGTAGATTTAGATAGTATGTCTATAACCTTTATGAGGGACTACTACGAAGTTCCTCTTGCGATGTGTTGAGACAGATCTCAGAAACATGCATCATATTAGATACTATCGACACACTATCCGTAAACTTCAAAAATATGTGCTTACGTACCGTGCGTCGTTTAGGCATGTGGCCGATGTCACAAAAAGACTCCGAGGAAATGGAGACACTACGAGCTTGCAGAGGGAGGCATCTATTTTCGCTACAGTACGCTTACCTTGGTTTCTGCGAATTTCCTCTTCGCCGCCTCTGTTCAACAAAATCTCCACAAGGAAATTGTTCATACTACTACTATTGACGCCAGATTCCTAGATGGTTACCATCTATGTGGTCTCGATCAAAAATTCGTTTATAATTAGCCGGATGGAAGGGCTTGTTCTTATGCCATGAAATTGGACTTACGCAAATGTTTCTAGGACGTCAGGGAATTTGGGATTGTTGAAGGGATGGTGAGTACTCGTGGAATGGTTGAGTGCATAGGAGGCTCTTGGAGCTCTAGTCCTCTGGAGTGGGAACAGAATTGGTTGTGACATCAATGTATAATCGTAGAGCGATTGGAGGGTTCGGGCGACTGCCAGACTTTGCCTCGGCTGGCTCAAGTATAGAATGTATTATAACCTTAGAAGAATGTTTCCAGATGAGAAAAAAATATCTTTTGCGTTGGCTCCTTTACTGCGTTCAATTTATTAGTGTTTTCGGCTCTGTGCTCCGCTTGGTTCAGTCATAGCTTTGCATGTTGCAATGGTATTATTATATTAGTCATTTTATCATCGCTTTATGAGTTTGTACTATTATTCACTTGAGAGTACCTTTCACTTGGAACACGAATCAATTACATGCTATATCTGTAGGTTTTGTTGGGCCTATTTCTCACCTGGTTATTAACACTTACGACAACGAGCCCGCGCTGAGAGCGATTTGTATTTGTCTACTCGCAACCATGATCCAAGTCTACAACTTCCCTTCCAAATTTTGCAAGGACTCTGCTCTATTTCTATCGTATCGTCTACCCCCCAACAACTCCTAAGATTCGATCAAATTTATGACATTTTACCCCTAAGTCCTGCAACCTCCTCACACCAACCCAACCACAAACAACAAACCATCAAACAGAACCTCCACAAGCTCCAAGATGTGCGGCGCCATCATTTACATATGTCACGGATGCTCCACAATCACCCAAGTTCCTACCGACTTCACATGGGTATATTGCGACAAGGTGAAGTACAGTACCCGTCTCGACTGGATAATCCAACGAACTGCCCGCAAGAGGATCGACTGTACTTATACGGATCTGTTGTGCTGGGTCTACTTTCTCTTTTGCTCCACTTCCTGATTTGATCCACTTATAGCTCTGCTGCCTAAATGCTTCATGTCTGCATAAAACTAACACTCTTTATATAAACACCTTAGATAGCTACCTTTTACAATGCAATCAATTCTCCATGACCTTCAGTACCCAATACCCTTTCAACCCAATAGGATCCTATTAGTTTCTGGACTTACGTTTGTGATCCTAAGTTTCCAAATGGAGGCTGTCCCTCTTGTCCGCTTGATTTTCGACAGCACAATAACTTTGGTCGTGATGTTACGAACTTGGCGGAGTAATGCAAGCCGGTTTTTGCTGGGGATTTAAGGTTTGGATTGGATACCATGGCGCATTGGTGGAGGAACTTGGGGATATGGAACGGGCGGTTGGAGGACCGAGGTGAGGAAGGATGGGTATAGTTGATGTGGTGGGGTTTCAAAACGGTGACTGGAATTTGCGAAGAATGGAGATTTACTGTACTGTGGTATACTGGGCTGTTATAGGCATAAAAAGGGTTTAATGAACCTTTACAATTTGATCCTCTTTTGTATCTGACTGAAAGTGACTGGTTCAATTATCCTTGGACAATCACCGTGATTATCGCAGAGTTTCGGTTGGTCGTTCTAATAATTCAAAAGAAGAGAGAACCCAAATACTTGAAGGGAAACTGACATTAAGTGAAAAGATGTTGTTTTTTATGGCTTTCCATATCAACTAGAAGTTTATACAGCTTGAGTCATAACTCGTAGAAGTGTAGAAAGTTTCGGACAACTGCCCGTTTTGGTATTTTACGACTCTAGATTTAGCCCTCTTTTTCTGGATTCAAACCTAGACAACCACTCCCTGACTTTACCATGTGACCTTTACAAACTTTGATCCTGAATGTTTTCTCGCATTTGTATTTCTCCGTTGTGTGATACAATGACAGTTATCGAAATCAAGCTATTCAAGGGTTTCTCAGTGTTTTGCAGCTGCCCTCATGCTCACTATGAAGTCTAACGCTAACCTCTTGTAGAGTTTGTGTTTGTTCTCTGCCAATGGTGCTTCACCCGTCGACTTATACGCATTTCGCAAAGCAAAGACTTTGCATCCTCGCTTAGGTCGACACTTAATCAATAGACTTGGTATGTTGTAGATTAGATGTAACTTTCTGTCAATATGTCTTTGAAAAGGTATCACGAAGAAGCCATAATTGGCTCTTTCTAGTATGCTCCTCTACATATCATCTATCTCTATTCACTTCTTTTCACTACTGTCCATTAAGTGGTCTCAGAAGATCTGCAAATCATATGAATGGCTCATAGATATACTGCTGCTCCACCAGCTTAGTTACCCAGAACATCTATTCAAACTCCCTATGGTAGCTAAAGCCAAGTAGAGTGTGCTTTCTCGACGCAAATTTACTCACGTACTTGTAGGATTATGCAACCAGGTAACACAACTCAACCATTTGCCTAAAGGTTTGCGCAGAAACTCCTTCATCTGATATCTATTTTGTCTATAAAATCAGGTGCCTCTTCCTTCTCACTCCCTCCCAAACTTCTCCTCAAATCTTACCAATATTGTATCTCAAACACAGATACTCTTCCAACAAACAAACAAGCCACACTACGAAAAGCCACTTTCCACGAATTCTCAGAATGTGCATAGGCTACAAGGATTCCTGCAGAAATCAGGGCTGCGGTAAATACCTTTTCATGGCCTGGGCTCCTTGTGGACGTTATAGTTCTCAGGGCTCGAGCTGCCCAGCGGTCAAATATGACAACGGGCTTACAGCCTGGATTGACGAAAGATATTCAAAGGGTTGCCCCATATGTCGTACTCAGAAGACAGCTCGGAAGATGACACAGAGGACGACACCTCAGAGGATTCCTCGCGGAGTTTCTCAAGGAGTTTCTCTGACAGCTCAGATGGCTCTTGAGATGACTCTTCAGACAGCTTCTCAGACAGCCCTTCAGACGACTCAGAAGACAACTCAGAAGACGACTCCTCACATGGCCCCTCAGAGATCTTCTCAGAGAATTTCTCTGACAGCTCAGGAGACAACTCAGATAGCTCCTCAGCCAGCTCTTAAGTCAGCTCTTCGAAAAAACCCTGCGTCACGTGCCCGATCACAACGTCGAGTCCATTTCGAATGATAATCGCCTCTTGTTACACACCTCGTTACTTGTATGGTGGAGGGAAGATTGAAACATGGGTGGATCGAGCAAATAAAAGTTCATGAAAGCTTCTTTAATGGGCGGGGGGGCATGGAGGAATGAAGGAATGGAGGGTTATCCGTGTCATTTGCATCGTTACAAAATAGATTGCCTTGAGATTTCCAACGAAAATAGATTCTTTCATGATGTTTGATGGTTGAGAAGTGGCAAACTAGAACCCTATTCTATTCCAAGCGTCGAATCTAAAACGACACTTGGACAATCTTCTCTTGAAAGCAAAGAAACTTGGCAACCAGGAGCTTTCCGTCTGGGTATAACATAGCAACAGCGATCCGGATCCATGTCTCTAACTAATCTGAGCTACATCTGAGTAATCAACCACGGCCGGCTCTACCAGCATCAGTTAGCCAGACTCTTATTAGACAAGAAGGTTGCAGAGGTCCTTTTTCTTTCAATTGGCGCATGGTGAATTCAATTTTCAACTATCAAATTATTTAACTTTCATAGTTTAGGATGAGGACGGTAATTATGTCTGAATTTTCTGTTACAATAAAGAAACTGAAATGGCTGTCACAAAGTTTGAAAAGGGCTGAAATAGCCAAAGGGGTTTCTGTGGACCGTGTGACTCGATTACAGCTCGAGTCACACAATCATTGATGGCTGCAATGGCTATGTCAAGACCCGTTGTCATCAGAGCTACACTTTCAGTTCATCTCAGATATGAGGTGATTGGCGGGAGTCCAAAAGATACTGCAGTCCAAGTAGGTTAGAAAGGTTACCTACGCCAGCATCTTTTTTCGCACTTTTGATACCCGTGGCTGATTTCTCCCTAGATCGCAACCAGGATATTAGCTGGCAGCAGGCACATGAACTTACAATAAATGAATCATGCTTTCACTTTGATATACAAAAAGGTTAACTGCCATCCCAACCCGCTCTACGCACCGGATTTGTTCCAAAACTGCACGTTTATTTTAATTATCTAAGTGTTTTGAAAAAATACATGAAAGTAAGACTTCGGGTTTTTGTTATAGAATTACCTTGGAAAAATAGATATTTCTGCTCATTGTTAGTTAAGATTTCTTGTAACCTAGTCAAATCCTTTGTTGAAGTGGTAATGGTACAGTTTGACTATTCTACAAAGTATTAAAACTCGCTAACCCTGCCACGTGCCTGCTTATCAAAAGTCCTGGGTGTTGATTTGTGAAACGAACGGTGTAAAGATCCAACTTTCGAAATTGCACTAGTCTCTCCGGAAAATCTCCGTGGGCAATGTTTGCGATAAGGATTTGTTATAGTATATTATACGGAGTATGTTGGGATTGTCGCCTAAGCGAGAAAGGGGTCGTCCACCCGACGGGTGTTCAAAACTTTCTCAGTCACCTGACCGTCCAGCAAACAGAGTAAAACCCTGGAAGTAAAAGGCAATTCTGACCACGTGCACAAGCCGTTTGTCACTTGGGGAGTCATTTAATCTACAAATTCTATTCTACCTACTTCCACCAATACCTACATTGAAAGAATAGATAACAGTATTTCCCCAACAGTGGCAGCAGATACACATCAACTCGCAACATGTCCCAACCACATAGTCCTCCTGATCCTCCAGTCTCTGAGTCCGTGAATCCGAGAAACTATCAGCGTGAATACTCTGAAGATCGGTATCATGCACTGCTTGCCGCCGTCCAACACAAGTACCGGATCGATGACAATCCATCCGGTCCCCGTGGACTCCACAAGGCCAGTTTTGGAGCGTACACGGACCGGAGTCTGGAATCTACGGAAGCAGAAGTTGATCCAAGGGACAAACAGCCAGCGTACTTATCCTCTTCTTTTGCCGCAATGGGGAAATATGCTGATTGTATTGTAGATATATCGAACATCTTCACAAGACGCTTCGCAATAATATAAGGGCATTGGATGGACGCATCTTGTACGTTAGTAAGTACCTACAGCTCCCACCAAATGCTTGCACCGACTGATATGTTCCCCATAGTTAAAGAGCCACAAATCTGGCCTCTCATCGAGTACTTTCACTCCCATGCCAAAACATCAGGGAGAGATGATTGGGATCGATGTTCGAAACCTTGCGAACCATGCCCAGACAGGACATCGTTCCCTGTGTGGTACGTCCTCCCAAAGGACATGCTTTCGCAGTTGCCTGCTAATAGTATTTCCTAGTTTATCAATTCTCCTTCTGGATGCCAGTGGGAGGACTGTCCATATCTCCATCCAACATCGCCTGAAATGGCTAATCCAGCCGGTTCGCTGATCCACAGTCGCTGCATCTACCTCAGAAACCCTACACAAAGGAATCGTTATACATATGTACGCAATGTATGCAACGTTACCGGAACAGACCAATGGACGACGCGGTCATGGATGAAGCAGAGAAACCGACTGCTATTTGTGATAATGGACTATGTGCAAAGACCGCGAAGGCAGACGGCGGTAACTTATTGGTCTGTGGCGGTTGTGGATGGGCTAGATACTGCTCAGTGGTCTGCCAAAAGTTGTGTCGAAAGCGCCACAAGATGGTTTGTGTAAGTATATTGACCAGCTTCCTTCTGATTACTAACGCGGATATTGACTTCTTTCAGATCAATCATCATATTCTGAGTATGGAGGACGATCTTTGGACGGTGGACGGCGACTTGAAGGGGCAACCAACGTTTAGGTCAGAATTGGCCCAGGGTAGATTCGGGACCACAGTTTGAAATCGTCTACAAATTCGTATTTCCTAGTGCCAGTCTTGTATTCTCTATGACAAGAATCCACTTGTCAGGAAATTGTTGAAGTGTAAGGAATCTATAGTATTCTATAGATGTTCTGTGAACTTAACAAAATCTGGCATTGTAACTGTGAGGAAGCAAGATTTTGCGACCCCTTTCACTCCCCCCGCCTGAATTCTTCATAACAAGCTATCATCCAAACTTAGTACATCAGCTGTTACATCCGACTACGGTCTAAGGAGAATTAGGTATCCCGTCTGCTCTGCCATACACAAGCCTCCGATCGACGGATCATAGAATATACAATACACTTGCAAGTGACTCAAAACCTTTTAATGTCAAATTTATTTTGAATATCGACGTGCAATGTAACCCTGAGGTGCCATATACGGAGAAGAGAGCCCGTTTTTCTCCCTGTACACGAACCCCAGATCCCCTGGTCTCCTTCGACCTCCCTCGAAGTTTAGTAAATCATTTTCCCATTGTCCCTTTGAAACATTTGAACGCCAAACTAAATCCTCTAAGTAGCAACGTGAAGCCATAAGACAAATGGGAAGTGTCGTGTGACTCGTACAATTTCCCCTACCACCATTATCAGAAAAAACCAACACTAAGCACTGAGAAGCACCGGAAAGCAAGTCCCTCAACAAGCTCTTGTAATCATCGAATCGAGATCAAGAAAGAAAAAAAAAACAGGGGCGAAAACAAGTTAAATATTTTGAGGTTCATGTGGAAGACGATCAGAAGATCAAAAACAGGGTTTCAACTTTCAAGGAAAGTATGTAGGTTGCCGGGCATGATGCTTTTTTGGTGCAGGGCCTGGAGATGCTTCGCCTGCTTGCTTTCGCTTCTTATTGATTTTATTTCGATCAATTTTGCTTGCTGGGCGCTTACGGAGAGGTGTATACAACTCGTCTTCGTCTTCGTCTTCATCCTCGACCTCCTCAATATATGGCTGCCTATCAGGGCGCCAACGGCTCTTGGGAGGTGTGGCGGGAGGTGTGACGGGAGCGTTATAACTCCATTTCGAGATCTTCGTAACGGTAGACTCCTTGACGTGCACTTCTGGTAGTTCTTGGATTGCAGGTTTTGGATCAGGGACTTTCTGTGGAAATGGAATCTGTGCTTGCCTTCGCATCGCAAGTTCTTCCTCTTCATCGACTTCATCCTCTGATGAGAGAATATCACCTTCATCTGCGCACAGAGGGAAAACTTGATTTCCATATGCGTCCTTTTCAAAGGTAGACATTTCCAACTTTGGGAATGTAATGCATTTCCAACTTTGGGAATGTAATGGAAGTAATACTTGATTCCCGTCATCTCCTCGATAAGTTCTCTCATATCTTTGCAGCTTTTACAGGGAATTCGGTCGATCACCACCTCTGCTTTCGGGGGTGTCGGCATTCCTTTCTGGTTGATTCTCCATATATTGGCCACCTGCTTTCGGAAGAGGAAAAGGACTGATCAGAGACCTTAATGAGCCATCGACATGCAAACCATAGCATAAGTGTAGGCTCGACGTGGGAACAAAAGGTATAACCTTTCGGAAGACCTTTGTGTGCTTCATACCCATTAAATTTCATCTTGTGGTCACGATATGTGGCGAGATGAAAGACCTCGCGCGTCCATATCGTTGAGTCGAAAATCTTCTTTTGATCCTTAAAGAGATCATGAATGCCAGAAATGGCACACATCAGAGGTGAATAATCATCTAAGTCTCTAACAAAACCGAATGTTTTGCTATTGATTGGCGCAGAAGCCTGAAAGATTTCGAGAGGGGCCGCAAGGGTTAGAACATTCCCGACTGCTCTGTGTACAAAGAAAGAATGAATAGGAAGTAAGGAGCCGGGCGCACACATTGTCGTCTTGACTTTAAGTTTTGGGGCTCGTCGGCTTCTCAACATCTGCGAGATCGTTCCACACAGCTCTTCCACTTGATCAATCCTTTCATCATCTGGTTCCAAGCCGGCAGATGCGAGAAATGCGTTGACTGATCGACCGCCTTTCATTCCATCTAGGAACTCAACCGCAGAATAGCCAAGACTTTCGAAGAGCTTAGATGGGACTGGCAATCTCAATGTGAGAGCCCGTGATTGTGGCTGTGGCTCCTCACAGTCATCGTCACTTTCTTCAGCCAAATTGATGAAAATTTCGGTCGGCTTCACCTCTTTCTTCTTGGGGCGTCCACGCTTTCTTGGCCCATTTTGTTGAAAATCTGGTTGTTGAATGTTGGCGGCAGTTTGTGCGCTTATACCTCCGCGTTGGTTACCTTTGGCATTCGCTGCCTTCTTGTATCGAGTCATTGTCAAAGGATGAACCGGAGTTGGAAATGAAGTTGTCGTGGCTTCTTTGAAGTGCGACGAAATATGGTTGCTGCAAGATCTCTCTGACATCAAATGTGTCACTAGAATGGATGATGTAATTGTTATAGAAGTAAAACTTACATGGAGGGAGAAGTGAGTTTGACCAAAGAGCCCAAACTTGACCGACAAGAAAAAGTTAACCTAGTTCAAGTGCACAATATCCCCGAGAAGAAAGCTTGTACGGCACTATACAATCAATTGGATATAAAGATGATGAACCAGAAAAGTGCGACTTACACGGAAAGCACCGTCGAGAACTCTGAACTTGAATGATGAAAGGCGTTGGGCGATGTAGACTCGTGGCGGCGAGACTGTGACTTCATGTTAGACATTTGATCTGAAGGTGAGTCAAAACTTACAACTCACTTCGAGAAAAGGCACCGGCAAACCTCTCAATTGTCACTCGAGATCATAGATCGGAATCAAAGGAGACGAGATCTTTACAGGAAAGAGATCGTAGATCGGGACGTCGAGTTTGTAGAATATTTGACAGAGATCGAAGCCAGAAGGCGCACGTACCCAACAATGAGATGGACCGAGACGAGCCTTTGGGAGGGAAAGAAGATCTGTGAGTTGATTGAATTGATATTCCAACAAGAGTATTTGAAAAGATATGTGTGACCCGTCGAGGGAAGTTTTGTGGAGTGAGATCGAGACGATTGAATTTACGGAGAAGGAGGTGGACGTTTGAAAGAGGAGAAGAGGAGATTGCGTGATTGAAAGTGGAAGAGGTGAATGATTAAAAAGAGAGGAAGGAGCGAATCACGGGATTGAGATCGAGATCGAGTCCCAGCCACAAAACTAAAGTGAAGCAAAAATCAAGAGGTGAAGTTGAGAATGCAAGTGAGGCGCGAGCGATTGAAAAGACGAAGAGAGGAAAGAAAAAAGCCGTTGATATGACTGAACCACCCAAACATTGACCGCCCATCCGCCAACGAGAAATTTCCTGAAAGCTGAAGCAGACCACGAGAAAAGCTCGGGCAAGAGAGGCGGTGTAATAATTCTAGTATCCTTCACGTCGGGTACGGCTTGGGCTTAAGCGAGGTTCCCGTTGTGTAACCTGAAGCCTGATAGCCCTCCTTAAGATGATTTGCGGTAAGCTTTTTTTTTTGGAAGTTCGCACCATTGAAAATTCCTGCAAGTAGTTAAATATTCACGAAACCAATTTAGCAACTTGGCGAACAAATCTCATTCTCATGAAGCATGTAGGAATAACAGTCACGTGACACAGTTACTCATCGCTTCCAGATTCCCCGTTTAACTCATTGAGCGCTGAAGAGAAAGTGCTTGTTCAGTTCCAACTTCTTATACATCTAGAGCTCACTCTCCCCTTTTCAAATTCAGTATCAGGTTCTCGAAGCAAGTAAACACAGTAACCGACCCCTCAAGTCGCAACCCATAACACAATCCCACCCCACCCTCAATTAAACTTCTCCAGCACCACAACCACCAACTCCCCACCATCAAACAACAAACTCTACCAAATTTAAGCATATAAGCTTATTTCCAATTCCCTCCATTACTCAAGACACCCACAAGATACTGTACAGTACAGTACATTAAAAAAATATATCGCCCAACACCTCTCCAAGAACAACCCACCCATGTCGCCCAGCCTCCTTATCGACCTTCCACATCGAGAACAGCCACCGTATCTTCATTACTGGTACCAGTATAACGAATATCTACCAGGTACCATTCCCCGGCGTTCCGGTACCTATCGATGGAGATGGCGATGGGAGGAGAGAGAGCTTGGAGCGGGGTTCTTGGATGCAGGGGGGGATGAGGTCATGATTCTTTATTCGGAGGGGTGAGTTTTGGGAGTTGGGTGTTTCTGAATAGAGGAAATGGGGTTGTAATGGAATGTAGATGGTGATGTATGGGTCAATTGGAAGCTCTGTAGATTGGTAGAGATAGAGAAGATAGAACCTTATGAGGATCAAGTAGGGAGATCAACATCTCGTCGCTGCTCTCAGCTTCTTCCCCGCATACAGATGTATGTCGAAGGTGGGGAGAGATCTTGGATGCGTGTATATAGATATATATAAATCCCACAGCCTCAACCAAAATACAATTCTTCCTTTCCTCGCCCTCTCAATAGTTTCCCTGGAGATATACAACCCACAATGTACCCCCCATTCCACCTCAAAACAACCCTCCCCCTCCTCCTCCTCCCCCTCGTCCACTCCCAAAACCACAGCATCCCCCTCTACCCCCCCTCAACCTGCGACATAACCGCCTACCCAGCCCTCACAATAGCCCACCCAGGCACACCCTACACCCCACAACTTCCCACGCCCGAACTAAGCATCATCCTCGCCGCCATCTCACCCACCAACATCGAGGCCATCATCGAGAAACTTGTGACCTTTGGAACGCGCCACACGCAATCGGACCAAACGTCCCCAACACGCGGGATAGGAGCCGCGAGAGATTGGTTGTTGTCCGAGTACCAGGGGTTCGCGGAGGAGAGTGAGGGCTGGATGGAGGTCGAGTTGCAGAGTTATATACAGCCGGCTGGGGGACGGTTGACGGCTGATACGAATATCAGTAACATCGTCGCGACGTTGAGGGGGAGTGAGGATCCGGGGAGGATTATTGTTGTTTCGTAAATATCTCCCCCTCCTCCCCCCTCTTTTCTCCCCTCATGTTCTCGGCTCGTAGACTAACAAAAGGCAAAGGGGCCATTATGATTCTCGCTGTCTGGATGTCATGGATACCACCAGCGATGCACCCGGTGCAGACGANTTCTCCCCTCATGTTCTCGGCTCGTAGACTAACAAAAGGCAAAGGGGCCATTATGATTCTCGCTGTCTGGATGTCATGGATACCACCAGCGATGCACCCGGTGCAGACGACGATGCATCCGGTGTAGCGATTTCCATGGAGTTGGCGAGGATTATGGCCAAGTATCGACCGGCGGCGACGATCAAGTTTGTTGCTGTTGCTGGGGAGGAACAGGGTCTTTATGGGTCCGGCTATTTGGCTCAGAGTTTGGCGAATGCTAGTGCGAATGTTCAGGGGATGTGGAGTAAGTTGACTGAGTCCATTTTGTTGTTTGTGGGGTTTGTGATGTTGTTCTATCATCCATTGTATCGGGATCCTTTTTTTTGTGTTTTCATTCGAGTGGAATGAAAGGAGGGACCAGAATCTGAGAGGCGTTTTCTCACTGGAGAAAAAACCCAAGAGCACTTCCTAGAAACCCTACGTCTGTCTCGGCTAAAAAAAGAGAACCCCCACAAAACAACCAACCAAAGACTAACACACCCCCCAGCAAACGACATAGTAGGCTCCCCAATCGGCGAAGACGCCCGCAACAACTCCAACACAATCCGCATCTTCTCCCAAGGAATCCCCACCAACGAGTCCTCCCTCAACGCCCCCCGCCGCCTAACCATCGGCGGCGAAAACGACTCCCCTTCCCGCTCCCTCGCCCGCTTCACGCAGGAAGTAGCCTCCAACTCCATAACCAACATGTCAGTAGAACACATCTACCGCACGGACCGGTACCTACGCGGAGGGGACCACTCGCCCTTCCTCTCCGCCGGCTACGCCGCCGCGCGCTTCACGGAGCCGCGCGAGAACTTCGCACACCAGCACCAGGACGTGGTGGTGCGGAATGGCACGCAGTATGGGGATTTACCGGAATTCTGTGATTTCTACTATATCAGTCGGGTGGGGAAGGTGACGGGGGCGGCGGTGTGGAGTCTGGCGAATGGACCGGGGAATCCGGGGAATGTGACGATCGATACGAGTGCGTTGACGAATGACTCGACGTTGAGGTGGTCGAAGGTTGCTAGTGCCGTTGCGTATGAGATTGTCTGGAGGCCGACGGGGGGTGCGGTTTGGACGCATGTTATTGAGGTGGGCGATGTGACGAGTGCGATGGTGGGGGTTAGTAAGGATAATGTTGTTTTTGGGGTGAGGAGTGTGGCTGCGAATGGGTATAAGAGTCCGGCTGTGTTTCCATTTCCTGCGTAGAGAATGGCATTTAGTTGATAGATGTATATAGAAGAGTTTAAAGATTCGTAAGCGAGTGGAAATCTAGAGAAACAAACTTGTCCCAGAAGTCTCGCTTAATGTCCCCTAAACAGAATAATCAGGCAAAGACAAATACAATTACGCGAACACGAAACTCTTTCATCCACTTCCTCCATCCACAACAAGCCTACAATACAGTCCAGAAGTACCAATCCCAGGCCTCAAATTCCCAAAACATCATAGAACCGATCGTCGAAACAAGGGTCTTCTTAGCACCTTCAGCCAATGTTGATTCGCAAGGACGCTAAGCGCAAAATCGGTCATTAATGCCAATACCGCACTCGCGAATCCCAAAAAAGACGGAAGCTGAAAGTCATGCAATAGTATTAGAAACATATAATATATAGACAGAGACCAAAAACCAACAAAACACAAAGAAAAGCGCCAAACGGCCATTAGAAAACTCATTTCATTACCACCCTATCAAAGGGACGTATCCCAAAACTCCCAAGAACGCCCTATTCAAACACACCCGGGTATTAAGTTATCTCTCTCTCAATGCAACCACCCAACCATCTAATCTTCCCCACCATCTATGTACGATTGCAGGCTCGTAATCAAAAAACCACCAATCATCTACAACTCAACGCCCATATTGCTTCACGGTCTTAGCCCTGGAGCCAGCCATGGCCCCCGCACTATGCCACACACTATTACTAACCCTAATGGGCAACTTCCTCCCCTTCAACCTCTGATCCACCAACCACAGTCCAACGACAAACTCCTCTTTATTCAGACACCCATTACCGGAACCATCAACGAGTTGATAAGCTTCTTCGAGTTCAGCAACATGAAGTCTCGATCTAGACCAAATATCCCGGACAACAAGATTGCACACTGAGGTTTCAGCAGCTGGAGTGGAAGGCGACATGTACAAATTCTTGTTACTGGCCCAAACAGCTTCATATCTTTTTCGCTCACGTTCAGTGAGTTCATCCCGCCAGCGCTTTCGATCGCCCTCGTGATGTTTGTTGGGATGTTTCTTCATGATATGAGCTTTTTTCGTTCGACGTTTAGCGCCTTCGTCAATTTCTTCATCGGGTTTGGGTGGTTTTCTCATCGTAGTTCTGAGTCCAGTAGGCTTCTTATCAACCTTTTGGGGACTGGCTGATCTTGAAGGGTTGGTACTACTGTGAAAAAGATGACTCCTCGCCCCTCGGCGAGCAGGAGGTGGGACAGGAGGAAGACTTATAGCAGGCGAGGCGGCTCTGGAAGATGCCAGGCTACTGGCAACGATAGCGTTGGCTAATGAGTCAACAGTCACGGATGATTTGGTTGATGCCCCTGACGAGGAGTTTAAGCGTCTTTGCTGGGTTTGTAGTTCCGCTCGAAACGAGGGTTTGTAATCCGATACATTATAGTCGGAGGCTGATACAAAAGAATCGTCAGAAGAAGCTTCTTCTTCCTCCTCCTCCACCTTCTTAATTTCTGGAACTGGAAGTGGGCTGGATGGAACCGATGTTCCCTTTGCGGGTGCCACTGAAGGACTTTTCGCCTTGCTATGTTTTTCTGGTGTGCTAGTACTACGAGCTTCTTCAACTGGCAACGGTGGTTTTGGCTTCATATCTGGCTTCTGGGTTTTTGTAGTTGGTGGTGGAGTACGCACTCGAGGTTTTAATTCTGGTTTCTTTGGTTTAGCCCTGGGAGAAGGTGTGCGTGCTCTCGCAGGCACGCGAGTCTGCTGCCTGTTCGGAGAGGAGTCATCAATTTGCGCAGCAGTAACAACAGGCTTCTTTGGTGCAGGTAGACTGATGGGCCTCATCTTGGATTTCTCAAACATATTTATTAAAGACGTCGTGGGTGGAATAGAGGAGGTATCTAGAGGTTGGTCGGAACTCCTCGATGAACTGCTGCTTTTCAATGGAGATGGAGATCTCTGTGTAGTTCCCATTTCCCTCGCAGAGTTCATGGGCGACCTTGATTGATTCCCTGTAACATTTGGAGATAGTCCAGGACTGGCAGTTGGAGATCTCGACGCCGCAAGATTGGCAGCGATGTATGATGCTGACTTTGCCTGGTCTACTCGAAGTAATCCATTCCCCCCAGGTTCACTCTGCTGTATGCGGTGTATAGAAGGGCTTCGCTCTGCCTGTTTGGCATATTCTCTACTCGGACTCCCGTCCAACCCCATGCAGCCTGGTCTTTGTTCATTCACGATCGCGGATTCGAACTTGGAGACGGAGGGTTTATCAGAGGGTTTGTTCGAGGGTGTCTGATTCGATCCGCCAGCCCCGGCTTTAGTAGCCGCAGCAAGAGCACCATTGTTCCCGCTGTATGTATTGGTCTTCGGCTTCGGTTTCACAGGTGGCTTGCCAAATGCGAGGGCAGCTCCTCTAAGTGCTGTGGCATCCTTGCTGAGCCGCTTATTGGCACTCATCGGGCTGCCACGATTGTTGAAGTTTGTGGTACCGGCTTGATAGGAAGGCGTTCAGACATAGGGGAATAGTCATCTAAGAAATGTGTGGTTGTTTGGAAACTCTGCAATCCGAGCTTCCGGGAAGCTCCATGCATTGCTGTAAGCTCTCCCCGGAAATGACAGCTTTCGCACCTATTTTGGGACAAGGCTGTTTGCATCACCTGACTTGGATTTGGCAGGTGCTGAGACCACGCCCAGATTGGAGCTAGTGAAGCGTCAACATCATCTGCATATTTTAAAGTAGTTGGTTGGTTAAAGCGAAGGCTAGATCTGAGTACCGGAGCGTGATTTAATCTAGCTGCGCTCTCTTGTTTAACACACCTCGGCAGTTGCAAGAATGATTCAATATCGTAGAGCAAAATGAAATCACCTTCGTCTTCAGAAGAAGTTCGTTCAAAAGTTTACAAGAAGAATTCCAACGTTATGATAAATTTTCTAATTTTTTTTCATCTTTCAGCAATAAACTTTGCTGCTTCTAACCTCTATATGATTCTGTCACTTTGAACATTTCTCCCCAAGCAAGTCTTGCTTGCTCCAACATGGTTTGAAAAAGAAAAGAACTATACAAAAACGAAAGGTATGTAGGTATATCCTGATGCAAAACTCCGTGGCAATTCTGCTAAACCCATCTGCTGTAATTCCAGCCCAGATGCATATGAAAATGCCTAAACATGCTTATGCCTATATGATACGCCGCGCTCAGATTCCAAAATCTGGCCCAAAAGATAAGAAAGAAAAAATGATTCCTCAAGAGGTTTCAAAACGTGTAAATAAAGAGAGAGCTTCAGCGAAACAAGCATCCCACACTGCATACTAAGTCTTCAGTTGACCCAAAAGGCATGGAGCACAAGACCCTTCGTGCATTATCAGCAAGACCTCGACGCAGAACAACGGATTTGGAGGGTCAGATGACTTGTCCAAAGCGGGATTCTGCAAGGCATCCCAACCAACCCCTTGTGCAAGACCCACAGAGAGCAATTTTTTCCCTTGTTGAAAAGCCTTCAGCAGTTGCCAATTATGCAGAAAACGACTCGGGCAAGCGATTCTGTGTTGTCCAAAAGATAACCATTCAGAGTGACGTGTGTTTCATTTGCGAGATCCGTAAGGAGTCGGTGCAAACGTGGTGTCATTTACACCCAATCAATGCCTGGTATCCGATGGGGTCTCTGAACTGTACTGGGCGGGCGGTTGGCCGTAGGTGTGGTGGGACGAATTTCCAGGTACAAAGATATTTTCAAACAGGGAAGCTTTTTTTGAACTGCCATCCCCAAACAAGTTTGACAAAATCCTTCAAGACCCTGCGCCGTGGTTGCAACCCTGATAACCCCACAGTAAACCGTTTCCAAAAGTCCCCTCCCTTGCTTTCCCGGCCGGAAATATCCATTTTGCTATAAGCCATATGCCGAGTGGCTATAGCCATAGCAAAAATGGCGAAAACAGCAAAACATCCCCATGAAATCAAGGTTTCGAGTCGGAGGCTGGGCCCGAGATAGGAAGTTGTCCCTTTTTTTTTTTTACTTCGAAGCAACTGCTCGATGGTGGGGCTAGATGGTCTCCAATGGTGTCAGGCCCCTCCCTGCAAGAACGTTTCTAGAAGGTGGGAGGGATCAGGCGTGCAGCACACGAGGTTGCCCGATGGGAATCGTCATATTACGAATGAAAATCGTCGGTGTTGATCGGAGAGCTGGACGCCTCGGCTGGGTTGGTAATATCTTCATTGAAACTGGGCAATCCACCTCAACGGGACGCCATCTTTCCCAACCTGATATTTTTTGGTGGATTCTTTCTTTGGTGGGAGGGCCCATTTGGCTCTGCCGGGTTTTTGGTCGTCGAGTTTTCCCTTGCGTCGCATGGCCATTTCCATGACGGCCATTCGTATGAAGTCACTGTTTTCGCGCATTTCCCGTTGCCGCGGCACCAGTCCAGGAATCTCGATTACGTCTTCAGATATTTGGGTACGGCGACTGATGACGCTGGGTGAGGTTCCTCGGGCGGATCGTGAGACTTTGTAAGTCTCCATCTGTATCGACGCTGTACATTTTGTAGCTGGCATGATCTGTGAGAGAGATGGAGGTACATGAGCTTCAATAGGCGCATTTGTCGTAGGGTTGAGATATCGTCGCAGTGCAGGGGTTGGAGTGTCTTCTAGCCGCGGGGGCATTCGTTCATCCGTAAAGGGAACCGATGGATCTATAGAAATTATTGATCTCGTGAGAAAATCGTCCGGTGTGAGCATGGGTGTTCTTAGTGATGAAAATGACTTTGCAGCCGATCGCAGTGCACGCAAGGAAGCAGTCAAGTTTGATTTGAAAGCTGATTTCCGACTTGGCTCCGGGGCCTCTGTAGACATTGATTTCAAGCTTCTTTGATCTTGATCCTTTTGGAAAACCCGAAAATCTAGTTCTTCGATTTGGAACTCTGGTGATGATGGTGATGATAAAGGGTGGTCGGCGATTGTGCTATCAGTACTAAGCAGTCGTATTCTTCTTGAAGGAAGTGACTTTCGACCGCGAGAGCCTGGTGTAACCAAGGAGTTTAGGGATGGTGAAGCTTCACTTATGCTATCATCAGCCAGCGATGGCATAGATTCGCTTGACAGCGTTCGTCCCGACATTACAGACTCCTGGCCTGTCTCACTTCCCGCCAAATCGTCCTCTAATAATTCCTCTGGCGGGCAGAGCAAGAAGTCCAACGGACTCCTTGTCAGAGACAAACTATACTCCTTCTCCGTAACCCCCGTGTGTTTTAAAATGGCATCGACGGTCAATCTCTGCCCCGTTGATCGTGTTCGAGTCGAGCCAGCCATTCTTTGGGCAGGAATTTGAGTGATGGCGAGAAGGGCTGCAACGGACGGGGACAGGGCGTCCGGGGAGTGCACAGTGCGGTACCTCCGCCCATGCTGCCGTTCTTTTCTAGGCTTCAGTCTTTGACTGTAGTGTGAATCGTCGTGGTGACCTCGCAGGGGAATCACCACAGGTGAAGAGGGTGTTGTTGGCCTTGGGTCGGAATCCGTGACCAACGAGGTCGTGGTCTTTGTTGGAGTCATGGTGGCCGTGATTTGAGGTTTGGGGAGGGAGTTCTTTCTCTTGGGAGCTCTCGCACGCCCATGTTTTGTCTCCTTGGGATGTTGTGAAGTGAAGAGGTAGCTTCGGGGAGCCAACATGGTTGAGCTCGGGCGTTGTCGCGTGCCTTCGGAGGCAACCGTCCACGAAGCCTGGAGAAGTATATATTGTAGATAAGACCCAAACTTTCTGGTAGGGATTCCGATCAACAATTGCGTTCATTTGTGGTTCCCCTGGATGCGGGGAGGAGATTGTGGAGTGGTATAAGAAGGTGGAATGAGCTTGCTGCCGCCGGTCGACAGGTAGGCAGGGAGAGCTTATCGCTGGAAGCAGCCCCGTACCGTTACCAATAGTTCGTTGCAGAGGGCTGTTTGGTGGGACTGGTGAGGCATGTCAGGCTTCCAAGGGATACAGTTAGGATCGCATGAGGCTGGAGATGTTCTATGAAAGAGGAGCGTGGTCAGAAGTCGAGGAGGACACTGTAGATCGTTGAAGGAAGAAGTAAGCAGGATACAGATTGAGATGGCAGAAGGAAGAAGGCACGAGTGTGGGTGTGGGCTCAGGCTCAGATGTAAGGTTCAGGGAGTGGAGGGTAAGTAGTACCCGACAGGGTATGGGGTCATTGGGGTGCAGGTGCATGATCGACTTGGAAAGCTGATAAGGGATTCTGCCAGCATCGCGGGAGCTGCGGGAGACTGGAGTCTTCCTGGTAGAAGTAGGTCGATGTCGATGTGCCGGCAAGGCAGGTGCGAAGCAGCGAAGGGCAGGGCGACCTGTATCAAAAGAGGCAAGATCTATCAACCTGGCCCTCCGAATGGGGCGAGGATATGCAGCAGCCAGGCACAAGTCCAGCCAGCTGCACAGTGCCGTAACCTTGGAATTCGGGGGTTCACAGCCTGAAGAAACACATCCATCCTCTGTACATCCTCAGTGTATTCTCTGTACACCATCCCACGAGAACACAACACCACCCGCTCGGTGACACGGCCATCTTGGTGTGGGACCCTTTGCCATCCATCACCGATACTCAGTATCTACGAGTATGATGGCTGGGCAGGTATCATTGTTGGCTCTTCAAACACCACATACCGAGGCACGCTGCCGCTACTGCCCTTGGGCCACAACACCGTCCATGTCACTGTCACTGTCACTGTCACTGCACTACAGACTACTCGCACAGCATGTCCATTATTGCCTAGGCAAGTAAACACACTACCGCCGTACACTACTCGTACCTACGGGCTGAAATCCGTGGAACTGGAACCGTGCGGCCACTTCAGCGCCCTACAGTATTACCCAGGCGGCGTCAAACAGAGCATCGGGAGCAGCGAAATGACGGCCAATCCCTATTAATCAATGCTAACATTCAACCAGTGACTATTTCAGGCTCACAAGCTCCGCACCGCTGCGTATACTATACAAAGTACTGTCTACCACTGTCCGGAGAATATCGGATATTGAAACAGCTGACAGCGGCGAAGCGGGAGGAACCTCCAGTTTGAAACTCCAAAAGGACCCTCGAGCTTGGATTAGGGATATATATTTTTAGTTGCACGGTCTATTGAAGTGTCAACCACATCACCAATTCTTTGCCATGCCCACTCGAGCCATCTTCTCTTATCGCAACTTGCGCAAGCGTAGATACACAGCCAAACACCCACGAGTCAACAAAGTCTTGTCTCTCAACCTCGCGTTCCCAAGCTCAGCCTTTAGGCTTCAACGGGGCCACCGAGAAAACGTTAACGCGTGAACGTGGGGGGTCTGTCCACAACATGGTGCTCTTCTCCAACAAATCAACCCCAGGTATTTTCCTGGTACGGAGGATCCATCCACAAACCATTGAGACCAACGGCCTTGACCCATCTCCCCGCTCGTTCCGACGTTTGTCCCATCACCAATCTCGTGTGCTCGCGAGCAGAAGCAAAAGCTTGTTTCCTGATTGAAGACGCACTGGAATCTGGAATTTTATAAAATCAACTCTCTTCCTATTCTTGCCGATCTTCAAGTCCAGCCAGGAGGAACTCGATCCCGGCGGACGCATTGACGGTTCAAACCGAGGACAACTGGACCAAAAAGACCCTGAAAGCTTCGCTCTGGTACCCGCCAGCCGTCGTCCATTACATTGACGGAGCCCCTTTCTGCCTTCTCCACCACCTATCCGAACCGAGGCGTTCGATCCACGTTGTCTTGCAGAATATATCGCTTAACTCGTCAACCAAGATTAAATATTTCAGCCATGTGAACTCGGCTGGAAGGGTCCTACGAAGTACGAAGTATTACTCAGAAACTGCTGAGCAAGTTTTGTGGAGCGAAGCGGGTTAATTATCCGGTGTCGGCATATGAAGAATTAGGAAATACCAGGTACTGGGTACAAGATGTCCACAGAAAAACGAAAAATCAAAGAATATTGAAAGACAGTGTGGTAAGCGAACGACCCCCAATATTCAAAAGACTGTGTAGTTTGATTCGGGTAAGAGGGAAGGGAGGGCGGTATTTTGGCAAATGCCATGATCGGTAAGTGAGGTAAGCATCATCCCACGGGAAGAATTCGATGTCCAATAATACCACATTCATGAACGAAACTATTTTGTGCGATTCTGTAGCACTAGCACCACCGGATCGATCGTCTCGGCGCATGCATGAGTTCCAAAAGAGACAGCCTTTATCAGTGACCTGTCGCATAGGACGAGGTACATAAGCTGGCAGGTATCCCACCTCGATTCGTCTGGTTCTGGTCGATTTGGGCAGAAGCACATGTTGTCGCGTGGTCACCATGACGTGGATGCTTAAATAGCCTTACAATTTGATTATGCTAATCCTATCGCATCACGTTGATATGATATCAACTGGAAAATTTGGAATCACTACGGTCACACTCTAGATATTTGTTTGTTCTTTTTCGTAGAAAATCGAGAAATTTCAAGTGAGTAAGTTCCAAAGTGAAACTGCTGTAAAGAATATGCTCTCGGGAATATCTCCGTGGAGAATTTCAGTGCGGGGTGAAATTGGCCGAGCGGGTGAGTTCAGCTGGAGTCGGAATTGGATCGGCCCGGGGGAGCTGATGGTTTGGCACGTGATAGCGCGTGAACGTCTGCCTAAGAAACGCGTGGTTTACCATGAGACCACAACTTTAGTGGAGATGCGTTGGACTCATTCCGAGATGATATTTTGATCAGTCAAACCTCACACTGGCTCTCACTTTGATCCTTCAAAGCGCCCACCCATCATGCCAAGCCAAAAACTACCAAGTGCTGCTGCCGAAAAGGAAGACCAGAGTCAATATCACAACGGACCTGTAAGCAAGGAAGAGCTAGACGCAAAGTAAGTATAGCCTCCCTGTAGGCTTCCCTGTAGGAGTAATCATCTTAAATAACCCGTTTTCAAGATATCCCAATCGGCCACATAACCATTCCCGAACCTTCTTCTTCGGAGACCTTATCACCGAGCTCTTCAACCCACTCAATGAAAACACCAACAAGAAAAATGTTGGTCCCAGAATCAATCGCAGAAAGCTAGGACCTCATCATAACAGCACTTCTCCCGTGGAGATCCGTAGACAGATCATCGAGAGATTCATCTCGCGATGGCGGAAGGAGGTTGGTGATGACTTCTACCCTGCTCTACGTCTTATTATCCCGGATCGAGATCGTGATAGACCGACGTATGGTCTGAAAGAGAAAGCGATTGCGAAGCTCTTGATCAAGTTACTGAAGATTAATAAAGATTCTGATGATGGGTTTAACATCCTTAATTGGAAGTCGCCTGCGCGGGATTCTGATGCTGGTGGTTCGGGGAACTTTCCGGAGAGGTGTTATAAAGTGCTTAAGAAACGAGCGATTATTAATGAACCAGGTGATTTGAGAATTGCCGAGGTTAATGAGATGCTGGATCAGTTGGCGGCGGCGCAGAATGAGGAGAATCAGTTGCCAATTTTTGAGAGGTTTTATCATCGGATGAATGCGGAGGAGTTGACGTGGTTGATTCGGATTATTATTCGAGGGCCTGGTGGGATGAAGATTGGAGCTACGGAAAAGACGATTCTTGATGTGAGTTATCTCAAGCAGGTGTGAACGAAGGCTAATGTTCTTTTAGCTATGGCATCCGGATGGTGAATCTTTGTTTAATGTTTCTTCCAGTCTTCGACGTGTTTGTTGGGAACTCATAGATCCCGACAAGCGTCTAGGAGGCGAAGAAACTGGCATAGAACTCATGGAATGTTTTCAGCCTCAACTTGCCCAATTTCAAAACAACGAAGACAACTCCTTCCAAAAGATGATTCAGAAGATGCGCATGCCGGTGGACAACCCCCAATTCTGGATCGAAGAAAAGCTGGATGGTGAAAGAATGCAACTCCACATGAGAGAAGACGCCAGCCATCCCGGAGGAAAACGTTTTGGGTTCTGGTCCCGGAAAGCGAAAAATTATACGTATCTGTATGGAAACGGTTTCGAAGACGATGATTCTGCTTTGACGAGACATCTCAAAGACGCTTTCGATGAAAGAGTCAAGAATATCATCCTAGATGGAGAGATGATCACATGGGACCCGGAGACCGATAAAATGGTCCCTTTTGGCACACTGAAGACTGCAGCCTTATCGGAAAAGAACAATCCTTTTCAGATGGCTGGTATTCGCCCTTTATTCCGCGTGTTCGACTGTGTCTTTCTCAATGATAAAGTCCTCACGGAGTACACGTTGAGAGATAGACGGAGGACTTTGGAGGGTGCAGTCCGAAATGTCCATCGAAGGATGGAAATTCATACGTACACCATTGGAGAGAAAGCGGAAGACATCACTCCTGCTCTGCACCAGATCGTGACCGATGCCTCGGAAGGATTGGTTCTGAAGAATCCTGGTTCTACGTACCAACTCAACGCACGCAATTATAACTGGATGAAAGTCAAACCGGAGTATATGGACGAATATGGAGAGATGCTCGATTGTGTGGTGATAGGTGGGTACTATGGGTCCGGACGTAGAGGCGGAGCTCTTTCATCATTCCTGTGTGGTTTGCGAGTAGATCAAAACCATATCGCTGCCGGTAAGTCGAACACTAACTACTCCTTCTTCCTCGAGGACTCTAACTGTGCTTAGGTGCAAACTCCATGAAATGCTACTCCTTCTTCAAAGTTGGTGGCGGCTTCGGAGCCTCAGACTACGCCACAATCCGGCATCAAACCGAAGGCAAATGGAAAGACTGGGACGTCAAAAACCCACCTACAGAGTTCATTGAACTTGCCGGGGGAGACCGCCAACGCGAGCGACCAGATGTCTGGATCAGACCCTGTGATTCAATTGTTATCCAGGTCAAAGCTTCGTCCGTAGATGGTTCCGAATCGTTCATGACACGTTATACCCTCCGATTCCCACGTTTCCAAAAGATTCGGCATGACAAAGATTGGAAATCCGCACTCTCACTTTCCGAATTCGCCGTCTTGAAGTCGAAAGTTGAAGAGGAGACTAAGAAGAAGGGAGATTTCAAAGCGGACTCAAAGAGGAAGAGTAAGAAGCGCGTGAAGAAAGAACTCATCATCGCAGGCGCCGACTCCAAAATCAAAACTCCCTACGCAGGCCCACAAACCCAGGTCTTCGCTGGTCTTGACTTCTGCGTGCTAACAGACATGACGAAGCCCGTGAAGAAAAGCAAAGCCGAGCTCGAGCAGATGATTAAAACCAACGGCGGGACAATAACCCAGAACCCCTACGCCAAAGAAAACATCCTCATCATCGCAGACAAGCGGACCGTCAAGCCGGCGTCCATCATCAAACGCGGGACTACGAATCTCATTAGTGGCTCGTGGATTGTAGATGTCCTCAAACAGGCGGAGATTGATGGACCTGGCAGGAAGAGATATCTCCTCCCCTTTGAGCCTAGACATCTGTTCCATGTTCTCGAGTCGGAGAGATTAGATGTGGAGGGGAATGTAGATGTTTTTGGGGATTCGTACGCGAGGGATATCCTACCTACCGAATTGGGAATCCTATGTGAGGAGATGATCCATCCCAAAACTGGGGACTTTGACCCGGCGCTTTTTAGGATGCAGCTTGAAGAGCGAGGACGGGGAATATCCGATTTACCTGGCGAGTTTTTGGGGAGGTGTAAGGTCTTTTTTCTTCATGGTGGTACGGACGCAGGCAAAGATGTTGATCGCTTGATTATGAAGTCCCGCGTTAGGTTTGCGGGGGCGAAAGTGGCGGAGGATGAGAATGAAGAGGGGATTACGCATTTCATTGCGGAAGAAGGGGATGATGAGGGGGTTAGGGCTGTGAGGGAGAGACTGGGGGAGAGGATGGTTGTTGAGGGGGCGAGGATTGGGAGGGTGGTTAGTGGTTTGTGGGTGGAGGATTGTTGGCGGGAGAGGACGAGGTTGGATGAGGAGAGGTATGCTGTTTGAGGGTTATGGCGTGGGAGGTTGGGGTGTGCTTTCGAAGTGGGTAGGGATCTTGAATTGTGCTACGGTACTGTGGAGTGGGAATGTGTATTTTCCTTATAAAAAGAGTTATGATTATGATTATGATTATGATTGTGATTATGATTATGACCCAAGTAAAAAAAAGAATCCACACTCTTCCCAGCCGAAGGGGCACCCGAGCAGCTTGAAAAGGTTGGAGGCTACTCGCTGCGCACTGGGAACCAGATATCCCTCCCTCCTCTACTCTCTGCGAAATGATATCACGGTAAGTGATACAACGCCTTTCCTGTGTATTTACAATGCGCACCCAATCCGAGGATATCTTTCATACTACCTTCACCCTACCTGCATTGTGGTTCTCATTGAGCCTTACAGTAGAGTGAAACTTAAATCATATAAAGGGGAAGAATTTGGTTTTGATGAGAGCTGTCTTGAAATTTGCTATATACTGTAGATTTACTGGGCTGGACCATGCAGGCAGATTTGGAGGTTATATGAAAAAATTCTCAGAAAAATCCATCTTTATCCTATCAACTCCACTCAAAGCATTTTCTCGTCAAGAGGCGTGTGGCTGTAGGTTGCTATGATTTGGAAGTGGCATAGCAATTCCTCCACGAACACTACAGAAATCCATATATCTACCCGACAGGCGGAAAAGGCCTTCTTGAGATCTGATCGCTGGACTCTAGATGGCTATCTCTTTTGGTCTTTGTGAGAACTTTAAAATGGCACATGAGTAAATGGGGTGGGTTTGTGTGTAATTGAGGTTCAGTTTGCTTAGGGTTACTGTTGAGTGCTTGTAATGAGCGTGTATTAGTTGAAAAACGTCTTGCAAACTATGTTTTCAAGGAAGTGGTATGAAATCAAGGTAATAAATAGTCTAATGGTATTATGAAATAGTTCGCGCTACACGTTTTGGAGTTAATTACAAATTACTATATACATTCAATCCAACAACTTCTTGTAGTTACGACTGTGTCCCAGAGAAACCAGTGTCTGGCTTAAAACCAAACCCAACCTGCCTGATGAGACCAAAGTTCCCCTTCGGCTTCGATGTTATTGCGGCATATTGGATAGCTCAGATGGCAGATATTGCGAGGGTGCTTCATACAGGGGTGCATTGAAAGGGGGCGTGGGTGGAATCTGTGTTCCCACTCTCCCGCCACTATCGTGTTTGTTATCCGTATGTCCCACAACAGGGATTTCAGTCTCTTTAGACCGTCTTTTCTGTTTCTCCCTCCAGAATAAGGGTATTAGTATTCCTGAAACCAATGCTCCAAGTGGCATGCCGACACTAAGGCCGACTATTGTTCCTAGATCTAACCCCTTCGAGGAAGTGGAAGTGGAAGTGGAAGGAGGGGTGACGTTGGAATCGGGCTTCTTGGTTGTAGTCTGTAGTATACTTGCTGTCGCAATTACAGTCGAAGGGGAAGCGGTGATGGTACTTGTTGCAGTGACATTGTTCCCATTTCCGGACATGAGTTGGGACACAAAAGCATCGTGGCCAGGTTTGAAGGAGGCCCCTGTATCACCAAGAGTGAAAGAGGCATTGCAGCAGGAGACGTCGTTGTCAAAAGTACCTTCAGTAAGTTAGTATGTAAATTTAAAGCTTGTTTTCTGAAAAGAGCTTGTAGGTAATAACTTGAAATAAGGGGTTTATTACAACAGAAGTCATTTGTCTTGATGCCTGGTATAGCGCATGCCGATAGTGGTGTTCAAATTTCAAATGGCGAGTTTGTGACGGGGTCTAACGAGGTAAGCTTGGTTAATTAGCAAAAACGAGAGGGTTGACTAACTGTGTAAACATGATGGTTGCTGTCTTGCGCAGTTTGGGGAAGCCTAGGTCTTGTATCATTAGCTTCAACCTTTCTATACATCTTCCAGTTAGGAAGTTAGGAAAGCAGTTTCCCTACTTGGTCGGTACAACTTCCACGGTAAATCCAGCCTGATCTCCCTAAGCAAAACCCTGACATCGAACATGAATTTAAAGGGTCGCAACATGCTGAAGGTGCTAAAGTAGTTTGATTACAAGGTGTATGACCAGGTTCCGAAGTTTTTGAGTCTGGATACCAGCAAGCGGATGATGAAGCTTGTATCAACGCTAAAGGGCATATGAGAACCACGAACAGTAGCGAACGAGACATGTTTTCTGAGGTGCACAACATTTGCTTCGAGAAAAAGAAGGAAAGAAGGAGACATTTATCGGGGGAGGATCTTTGGAAGGGGGCAATTAACTGCGGTTGCGGTACGTTCGCACTTAAAATTGAGATGGGGTCTATGACTGACTATACGACGCCGTACTCTTGCATTCTGCCTTATGCAATACCACCCCAATCTTAACCGTATACTTCAGTGGCGATCTTCTGCATAACTACCAGTTTTTTAATATGTGATGAAGATTTCAAACCTCGTTGGTAGCATGTGTCTGCGTTGCTCTGGCGCCTGAGGTTGTGGCATTATTGCCTTGCCGTCGCAGACACAAGCGAGAATGCAGAACCGCCGTCGGTCTGGCCGATAGGCACATCAATGAAGGAGGTGTTATTCGACCCTGTACTAATCTCATTTGCATATACTTCCTCTCTATTGGGACCTCCACTTCATCGCTCTCCTATTCTTATAGTGTGTACTTTTATTCCTAGTGACTTTCTCTATCGGGCTTAGAAGTAATATAAGTCAATGTCGTACAGCACGGAAGTTTTCAAGACTACACAGCCCAAGTGGCGATACATAGCCAAAAATGGAAAGTAGTTTAATTTAATTTTCATTCCTAGATATATGGGCAGAATCGTAGAATACTTTTGACGATGCCTTACTAGGAATTCGTCAGTATTCGAGCCGACTCGGAGTTATTCAAGGAAATATAAGCTTTCTACCATTCCCCAAAAACTCCAACACCAGCAAGCATCACAGAACAGGTATCGCCTTCGTGAAATTTCTGTAGAGCCATATTGCGTTGCTTTAAGGTGCGACGTTCATCTATCCTCTGGAACCGAAAGCCCTTTTCTGTCACAACTATGGCTATGGGAAAGATTCTAAGTTTAAATCGAATCATCTTTTGGGTACGTCGAGCCTAGCATCTTTTGACTTGTTGCTCTCAGCAATGGATTGCTCGAAATAATGATTCAAAGGTAACATTTATGAGACATACTGAACCGTAGCGCAACTACTAGGGTTCGAGATACTTCATTCTCTAGTACACCATCATGGAGGAGCAGACTAAGGAGAGAAGACTCAAATTCCTCTCCGGGGGCCCTTATCCTCCACTTTGACAATGTTATCCTTCAAATAATTATGGAGAGACCAACATCCGCAAGAACTCTACCACCAGGAGGCAGTGTATTGTTTTGATATTGCGTGGTAATCTTCTAGCGATATCTATTTGAGAAAGCTGATATTAGAGAACTGCTTCAGTATCTTCCTCTATGATGTATTGCTTACCTGTTTGTTGGTCTTGTTTATTTATGGTGGCCCAAATCGATGGGAAATGTGCAGTTTCGGGTATGCCCCTTTCTTTGATCATCATTGCGAGAGCTGATACTTGGATACTACATATGGCTTAACACTGATACCGCAGTATATAATTGTGAGTCACACGCTACCTGCTTTTCGGATGTATACTCAGTAGAATCTGACTCCCATTTGCCGTGTTGGAGATTTGCAAAAACCGACTCTTGAAGTTTTGTGTGCTTCGTTGGTGGATTCCAAAGCCCAATACTCAACTGCTTTGTGACATTCTATTGCCGATGGTTGTTGATGAAACAACTCAGCGTCCACAAGAAGTTTACGCACGGCAATTGATTCAGATTTCATCTCTTATACAGCTGTACAGAGCAGTCACGAGTGCATTCTGATATTGATACTTTTTTTCTCGAGTCTCTTTCTTTCCCCAATGGTTCAAGGCAACTATGTCCACAGTGTGCATACGTGCGTAAGATCACAGGAACACAGCCAGCACCTGCAGCAGTACCTGCATACATCGTATGCACTGCGACTCCCTGCGAAGACTGCCCGATGAACTTTTGAGCTTTCTTATCGAGATTTTGGAAAACTAAGCGTTACCATATGTGTAATTGTTCCGCTTCTTTACGTTCATCAACCGAGTCTTGGTCGAAGTCCTTCAGCTACGAACGCGTACGCCTTTCGGGAGAGCCTTTCGAGAGAAGGGTTGGGTTCCCAATGGCCAAGACCCAATATACTGTAGGCTGCATAGTATTGCATTTCTCACCTCTTATTATTTTTGCCTACGCTACCGGTAGTGTTTGGGACTCTTGCAACCTTAGTCTCGTTTGTGTGTCTAAAAGAATCATCTAGGAACATGCCCGCGAGTCTTGAATTTATCCTAAGTATGCTAGAATGCAAGAGTACGGCGTCTAGTGTACAGAATGGCCTCCGTGGCAATTTGAGGTGCGATCATGACGCTTGAGCAGTTCGCACACCTGAGAAAATACCTTTCTTCTTAAGTTATTTCCCACCCCTGGCCTCTTTTCCTCTTGACGATGCTTTGATTGACCTTGGAAACATGTCGCGAGCGTTTTTATCTGTTATTTTGATATCCCATATGTTGAGCATATTCTGGCATTCACTCCCATATGAAATTAGGTGGCGTACCATGTTATATCATAGACCTACATTATAGATCGCTTCTTTTCTCCTTAGTAGTCTATAATATAATAATAAGCTATATTCGAGTTTTCCTAACGCGTATAATAGGTTATAAGCCCGGGTTAGTAATAACCTTAAGTCTTGTTTATTATTTATTATTTATAACTTATAGTTTAATTATTATTAAATATATATAGCGAGTAATATTCGCTACTAACAAACTAACCTTTATCTAGTAAAATTTAAAGATTATTCCTAGACGTAAATTTAATATAAATAGATACTTCTAAGCCTACTTCGAATTTTAATATTAAAGAAAAGGCCTTTAATCTATTTAAATTATCTATAAAGATTAAATGATCTAACGCTATTCTATAATCGACTCCTAGTACTTTTATTAAAGAATCTAACTCTAGCGAGTAATATTTAGATATATAAACTTACTTATAATTACTACTTACTATATTAACTAATTTAAGGCGTAAAAGCTTTATAAAATAAGTTATAATAGTACTCTTAAAACCTTAATTAGCTAAGCCTTAAATAAGTTCTTATATAACTAAATACATAGTTACTCTAGAGAGTATATAAATTTACTTATAAAAAGATAGGCTAACATAGCTAATCTTAGTATTAGCTTAGCCCGGAATAATAATTTACTACTTAGTAAAAGTAATCTAAATATAAATAATAGGAGAGCTTAATCTAAAAAAAAAGAGACCTAAATAACATCTACTATTAAATCTACCTAAAGATCTAAATCCTCTTAGATTCTTATTTTTTTATATAAACTCTAAAAATCTATTAAATAGTTCTAGTAGTACGCTACTATTACTAAAACGCTTATACCTTAAAAGAGAGTTTAATTACCTTATATAAAAGGCTAAAATAATTTACTTAGTAAGATAGTACTAACTTTAAAGTTTTATATAAGGATTAATACCTAAACTAAAGGAGGTAAACTTCTAGAATTTATATCTTAGTAAGATATAAGATAATACTAAAATATAAGTAAACTAGGATTATAATAAAGCTAAACCTTACTTAATAATAATAAATAAGGTTAAGGCTACCTCTAGTAAGGTTATTAAACCTTATAATTTAGCTAAGAAAGCGTAAGAAGCTTTTAATTAAAAATATACTAGTAAAGGTAAGGTTTTAGCTTTTAATTTAATTATAGATTATTAATAATATGTGACGAAACTCAAACTATCTGACAAAGGTAATCGTTTCGACGGTTGGTATGCGGGTAAGAAGTACAGATGCGCCGGGTTGTTTACTCGGAGGTAAACTCGTCACTTGTTAACAATGAAGTAATAACTTAATAACTAGATTGCTAAACTAAGCTGAGCACGAAGCTCCTATCTAATGGCAGACGTGCCAGTCTTATATAGAACCTTCGTCCTCTCCTGGATCCATCAGATCCCTTTGGATCCCTTGGATCCCTTTGGACCCCCTCGGGATCTATCCGGGTCCATCACGTGACGGTAACCAATGGAAACCCTTGGATCGCTTAGCTACTCTAAGCGATCCCTATTACAAGAAACCTGGGTGTGCACTGTCGAGGGTTGCGCCTCCTATTATGACAAGTATCACGTGGACGCGTGATTCGTGACATAATAGCTACGAATTATATAATAACCTTAACAAGTTTAATAATAGCTTTTTAAATATAAAACGTAGGCTAGAAGACTTATAGCTTACTAATATTATTACCTAGTATATAATATTATATATATATACTTTAATAAAATTATTTTCTAACTAAGTAATAGTAAAAGTTATATAGTAAAGATCTACTATACCTTAACGCTTTAATAAAAGATATTATAGATAAGGCTTATTTAAAAGACTTTTCTACTAGTTAAATATTATTCAGTTATAAGAATTAATAACTAAACAGTAATAAATTAGGTAGTTTAAATTAATTAAATAGTTTAAATAAATAAGGTAATAAAAGATTTAAGAAGTATAAATACTATAATAAGATAATACTATATAAGGAAGATAATTATTTCACTCTTAATAAAAATAAGGTAAAGAAAGGAGCCTAAGAAAAGAAAAGGAATATTAAATAAAAGAAGGCTAAAAATAATAATAATATAAATATAACTACTAAACCTATTAAATCTAGTAGAATGAATTCTAAAGATTCTACCGTAGATATAGAGAACTAGTTTAGTTATACTACTATAAATATAGCCTTATTAGACTATAACGTAATAGCTTCTTTAATTCGACGATCTAAACGCTAGGTGTTACAAATCACGTGTTAGCACGTGAGGAGTGAAGACCAGACGGTGTCCTGACAGGTCAAGTACTATCGTATGCTCTTATAGCAAATAGGGACCCTTAGACTAGCTAAGCGATCCAGGGATTTCTCTGTATTGTTATCACGT